CTCACGTAAGCGCGAGTGAGAAATACCCCCACCTGCCGCGTTCCACACAGACAGGGCTCGATCAACTCGAAATGATTACAGAAGTCGTGTGGGCCCATATCGAGAAGAAACTCAAGAAACGTAAAGAGACTACGTTCGAAGACGAACGTAGGAATGATGAGCTCGATGAGCTCAGGAATAAGTATGAGATGCTGCAGAACAAGGCCGACAACCTGCATTCTGAAAATGACCGTCTTCATCGACGAGTTGAATCCCTCCGAAAGGCCAACGACGAACTCAACGAGGATGTCTTTAGAGTCGCGCGCACGGCAAGGGGACGCCCTGCATCTCCCAAACCCGCCCCGATCCAATCTTCTGCTCCCTCGTCATCACAGCCCACTGTTCCCCAAACCATCGTTATCCCTGGGGTTGGCCCGGTGGATCCTGCGTCGGCCAAGTCTGCGCCATCGAAAAAAACCACCTCTTCCAAGAGATGGGCTCCCACATCCGACGATGACGAGATGGAAGGCGAATGGGTCGTCGACCCTGATGCCCCGTTCGAAGAATTCGTCGTGAACTGTCCACCCAGCTACCATTACTACGAGTACTACGACGCCAAACTCACCGAAGTGCATGGCGAACCCCTACCCCCACCGACATATTGTCGATCGGTGGCCCTTCCTACCCGCTTCTACAACATCGACCATGTCGATAGAATCGAATTCCCAGACGCGGCTGCGCTCGTCCGCGACAAAGAACCTAAGTGGTTCGAGTTGGTTCGTAACTACATACACACCGAAGAAGGTGTGAGGTTCTATGCTACAATGTACCATCTTGCCTGGTTGTTCAAGATGGGCAAGCCCTCGCAAGAGGACGTCGACACCTGTACCGACTGGTACAGGGTGGCTACAAACAACCGCGCCTCACGAATGCGTATGTCGCACGACGACATTGAGACGGAGGCGAAAAGACTTCCCGACCAGTACCCCCCAGCTCGTATTGCACGGATGTACATCCTCGCGTGTCGATGGATAAAACCAATGACTGACGACGCTCGTGAGCGTCGTAAAATTCAATGCCAGGAACGAGCACTTATGTACTTGAACCCTCCCCCAACGTCGTACTCAAACCCGCCTATGATGTACGCGAGCCCACACCCTGTGGCGTATTCAAACACCCCACCTCCGCCGCAATACCCCCCTCCGACGTATGCACACTCGTCGGTGTACGAATCCGCCCACGCACCACCAGTGCGAGGGCGTGCTCCCTCTTCTCATGGACGCGGCCATCCCGTGCACCATGTCCATTACTCGCACCGTCGTCAAGATGAGGATTCGTCCATGAACGACGCTGACATCGAGACTCGTCACTATGACGACAACTATCTGAGCGACGATGTCGCTGTCGACGCAGCTAGGTCCACGACGACTCGTAGGACCACGTCGAATCGCCCATCCGGCCCTGGCCCGTCCGGGTCCGCACCGCGCAAACAAATGAGGAACTGACCCCCTCATATCCATACCTTTGTCAACGACAATGCCGTCGTTGATTATTCACTTTCGTCAACGACAAGGTCGTCGTTGATTAATAACTTCTTACCTTCGTCAACGACAATGCTGTCGTTGATTGTATATTCTGTGCCCTTCGTCCTTCGTCAATGGCAACGTCGTTGATTATTCGTTTTCTTCGTCGGCGACAACTCTGCCGTCGACGACCTGCACTGTCAACATCATCACGGTGGACAATGGTATTTAATAAACTCACAACGACGAGAAAGTCGTTCCATCGTCGACAACACTGTCGTCAAGGTCTGGGTGCATATGTTCCAGGAGAAACTCTAAGTGGGCTTCGCCTACAAACTACTATTATAGCCTCCTGCAATGAGTGTGCCCCCGTTTGCATACATCCTTCGTATGTAGAACGTTAAAAATTTATTTCTTTTAAATGCTTGCTTTCCCCCTGTGTATATATGCTAGTACCCTGTCTGCGATCTAGTATTGCAAGGGAGGAGGATGTGAGGCCCTGGCCCATGTCTATATTCCGCCCACAACATCAGTTGATGTTGTGTTGTGTAATAATTATGTCGCGACGCTAATTTAGCGTCACGGAAGCTTCTCTATTTATTTGTGCTGAGAAAGGTGAAACAGGTTTTCACTCTTCTCCTCCCCTGTTGAAATTACAGCTCTATACTGCCTAATTCCTGACAGCTTGAGGATAGCAGGAGTCAACACCAAGGTCGGAACCTCAACCGACCTTACAGAGAATCAGGAGGAGATTGGCTGGTCCAGGAACAGCCCATTTCCTCCGGAGTTGGCTAGGTACTCCAGGGCACTCCCAGGAGGGCCTGGAGCATTGCTTTGTGCACAAACATATCCAGTAAATACAATTTAAATGCTTCAAAGTGTATAGGGGTGAGAAGCTTCTGGGAGCTCCTGGAGCATTTGAAAATGAAAAGGAAAAAAAGAGGGAAGATCCCCCATGAATACCCCCTACCACAAGACTAACACAACAAGACACTGCTTAACATTTAGATCAAACACTATACTATATATCAAGGACACTGAGACTCACCAATACACAATCAAAATTTATGGCCTGATATATGATTAATCTGGCAACTTAATCACTTTCGGGCTGGCAGAATATGGGGGAGAATGAGGGGGGGAGAATGAGGGGGAAATGAGGGGGAAATGAGGGGAGAATGAGGGGAGAATGAGGGGGAGAATGAGGGGGGGAATGAGGGGGGGAATGAGGAGGGGAATGGGGGGGGGGATATAGAGGGAAATGAGGAAAATTTGAAAATAGGGACTTCTAAAAAGTTGAAAAAAATAATTAGGGAAAAAATCAAAAAAAAAATCAGGAACTGTAGTGCCTTTGAAGTGCTTTCAGGATATATAATTATTTGCAAAATTGAGGAAGAAATGATGGAGAAAAATGGAAAATACTTTTGGAGACCCGAGAAATAATGGGAACTGAATTGATGGGAAAGTCTGAAAATTGAATAGGGAAGTGAGGGGAAGCCTTGTAGCATTGTTATCTGCTGTTCTAATTTTTCCTGATTGTTCTTGGTCTCACTCCCAGCTGCTACTGGATACTCCTGGATACTCCTGGAAGGGTCCAGGAGCAGCTAATGGAAAATACTTTTGGAGACCCAAGAACTGAATTGATGGGAAAGTCTGAAAATTGAATAGGAAAGTGAGGGGAAGCCTTGTAGCATTGTTATTTTCTGCTGTTCTGATTTTTCCCAATTCTTCTTGGTCTCATTCCCAGCTGCTCCTCAATACTCCAGGAAGCTCCTGAAAGCTCCTGGGAGGGTCCAGGAGCAGCTGGGAGTGAGACCAAGAACAATCAGGAAAAATCAGAACAGCAGAAAATAACAATGCTTACAAGGCTTCCCCTCACTTTCCTATTCAATTTTCAGACTTTCCCATCAATTCAGTTCTCATTATTTCTCGGGTCTCCGAAAGTATTTTCCATTTTTCTCCATCATTTCTTCCTCAATTTTGCAAATAATTATATGTCCTGAAAGCACTTTAAAGGCACTATAGTTCCTGATTTTTTTTTGATTTTTCCCTAAATTTTTTTTTTCAACTTTTTAGAGACCAAAATTTTCCTCCCACTGCTCCTGGCACATTACATACTCCTCACCACTCCCAGCTGCTCCTGAACCCCCTCCCAGGAGAACACTATTGGCTCCAGGAGTGCCCAATCTGCTGTTTTGTCTCCCACATGCTCCAGCCACTCTTGATGCTCTGGAGCATAACAGACTTTTGCTGATGATGGCGGATATCAGTGTCAGAAAGCTTGGATGGACGTCCACCACTGGGCTTGGGAACATCAGAACAGTGTTTAGACCATAGGCAAGTGACAGTGGAGTAATGGTGGCCAGTAAGAACTGAGATTTGGTGAGCACTATGGCCAGAATCAATGAGGGAAAGGATTTGTTCAACTTTTGAAGTGGCTAAAGGATGCATTTTGGATTTGGGGCCTTATCATGTGAAGTCCTTCGGTATTTATGCTTTATTAATGTCATTTTGTTTACTAGTGTGTTCAGTAAACAATATCACATGACATGTCACATGATATTCCTATTTTCTGTTCAGCCTGGGGGTACTCCAATAAACTGTTGCAATGACCTGGGTAGTTTGTAAATTACATAACATTACCAAAAATGGAAATATTGCTTACATAATTGGCAGATCTCTAGATGAGATACTTTCCCATGTTCTGAATATTTTTTCGAAATTTTAAAATACATTTTCATTGTGCTATATGGTCATGAGTTGAAAAGTGAAAAACATTGCAATGGTTTATTGGAGAACTGTATGTACATGAAAGAATGAAAAGAGCACTGTTTTGTAGTGCAAGGGTTGTTGGAATACGAGTCACATGATGAAACTGAACCGGAATATCCGAGAATATTCTATGGGTTACTAGGCGCCTGCATAAGCGCTGAGCATGGAAGAGCCTGGAATGTTATTCAGGAGTATAAATATGGGTGCTTTAGCACCGTATGTTCTTTAGTTAGTTACAGTTTCTCTTCTCATTTCTATATTACATCTGGGTTGCGAGTGAACCGCTGAAGCGGGTTGCTATATATGGAACTCCGGATTTACAACAAGGGTTTATCCCTGCAACAGCCCAAATGCTGATGCTGTTCCTGGAAATTGACCTCGATACCGAAAACCCTGCCTTTGGCAGGCCAGAAACGTGACAGAGGCAACTCCAGCGTCTCTGACAAAAGTTCACCCCACCTAGAAAGGAACCCAAGATGTCTTTCACCCCCAATGAAAACCCCGCACAGAGCCAGATGCTGGCTGAAAATGGCACATCTGTATCGAATATATATACAGGCTCCATGTCGCAACCGCCAATTAACCAATCAATGAGCACATCACCCAGTTCAACTAAGATTTAGCACAAGGATATCACTATGTCATTTTCGTAAGGAACGTCCCCCCTCCGATCCAGAGAACAAGCTTCGAGCAGAGCTCGATCGATAAATCTCCCATGCAAGCTACCTATGCCTCCGTCGGAAACAGCGTCAGCATTCTCAGCCGCGTCGATTGAAGAGCGAACCAAAGGGGTCCTCTATTTTCAATCATCAACTTCTTCACCGTGTCATCGCTCACGTCATCTAGCGGATAAAGGAACGCATCACGGACGAGCATGATGTTCACCTGCAAGCGTTCGATGTCTTCTGGGGTGTATCGGGATAGAAGGATATCTTCCAGTCGATCCAGTTCAGAGGGGCCGATTTGTACAGAGATCTTCCCCCAGTCGATCATGTCGAAGAAAGGGTAGTGCGACTTTTGGCCCACAAGGACTGGTATGCATCCTGCGTATACGGAGTCCACTAAACGTGTGGCCCAACCTGTCCAATAATTAAGGCCCCTGGTTAGTATATCGATCCCCAGAAACAATAGATGATAGAGGGGATTATGGTCGCAAAAAGGGGGGGGAGCTCACCAGTGGTTCCCGCAGGCTGCGGACAGAAGATCGTATCGTTAAGAATGCCAGTATAACCATAATCCCCCGTGCTCCCAAAAATACTTCTCAATTTTGGACCATTAGGGTATAGCCTTTTCTCCGTCTCTCCCGATTTCCAACCCTCGCGCCCGCACGCCAGCCTCACACGATTAATGTAGCCCGTTCCCCAGCCGGTGCCGGCGAACGTCACAAGGACCCGACGATCACGCGCAGGACGAACATTGGCAATGTCTGAAAACGCCGCGAGGAGATTCGAAGACCCGCAAGTTCGAGGCGGTATGCTAAGTTGGAAAAAAAAAGTAGCAAATCAGTGTTTAGTCGAATACAAAGTTAATTGCAGATAAATCATACACGACATGCTGCTGCGGCCAATAACAGGGAGTGTTTAAATCACCCATAACGCTCCAAGGGGTCGTCGATCTGACCATAGGACTCAGATCTGGAACGTTTTCTCGCATTCCCCAAACCGACCTGTTTTTTTTTCCAGAAAAAAGCAAATCTCATTAGGACACGAATAAATCGAGGACGAGGAGTCCGTCCTACGTACCACTGGAAATGCATGCATGAGCCCCAATCGTGTGTAAAAGGAATAATGACTTTGGATGCATCGAATCCAGCCACGGTCTTCAGCGCGTGCTGATACCTCTGGTCGATCCCATCGTTCCGTGCCTGATAATGTGGAACATAAGTCATCTCAGCATCGACCCCTGCTTCAACTCCCATCACCCTGAGAGCCTTTTCGAGTTGTGAGTCCGCAGAGAAACAGTGGGAAATCTGGAGTCTATCAATGTGATATTCTTCATTCCATAGGCGGTCTCCTTCTGGAAGAGGGGCGACGTGGACACGAGGGAGGGGGACGTTGGCAGCAACAAAACTGGCGGCCTGAGGACGAAGGACGTTCCGCCACGATGAGCGTTTGACCATATCACCTAGAGTCGTTTCTTCCGGCCCGGAAGGAGGGAAGGAGATGGAAGCTGGATCAGAGACAACGGGCACAAGACGTCGTTCCCTGGGAAGGCAACTCGACAAGACACATTGACAATCTCCAGTATCCAAACAAATGGTTGGGTGATCACAGAGATTCGAGCAGGCAGGCAAATTTGCGTCAACCCACTCGATAGGCAGCCTGCTCATTTTGGCACCGTCGGACTCCTTCAACCTCTCAGTCGGCAAAGTCGCCAAATCACGCTGCACTTTGTTTAAAGCTCGTTCCAAGCGATAGCAGGAAGTCCTCGATGGGGAAGCAGAAAATGGTCGCTCTAAAGATGATCTCTGAAACTCAATGGAATAATCCAACGCTAGTTTCGAAACACCTGATATTAGAAACGGCCCGAGGTAGCGAAGAGAAGCAGCTCACGGTCATCACGAAGGAAAGGCCATGGTGCAGGACCCTCACAACAAACGGGCGAAATCCTAAATGGCCACTCGTTCCGAGTCTGATTCGACACAATGGAAAAGTTCCCTCCAACGACCGTTGGACTCATGAGATATAGATCCGTATCTGGAACGACAAATCGAAGGGTTGCGTGGTCATCTGGGTTGACCTCTATCTTCCAATCCACGACCGGCTGAGGAAAAATACTATCGATCTGCTCTTTCGTCATCTTCGGAAGTTCAACCGGCCCCAAATCAGGACGCATCACACCAAGCCACCATTCATCGTATAGCGGTCTAATGCTATAAATTTGTCTCTCTTTTGTCCATTGTCCAGACTTATAGATCCGCATTGACTGAGAAGGTAACCCTGTGTCAGTGGACCAACCCTGCCCGTTGTCTCGAGGCGGAGGCGTCAAAGCTTGAAATTCCCCCTGGATGTTCACCTCAATATGAATGTGGCAATCGTGCAATTTCTCCAGATCGGAATTGATAGCGATCGAAGGCGATGCGTCGCCACATGTACCTCTAATGTGCTTATGCAGAAAGCCCTCCGTGCGGGTCAGATAGGCCTTTACGAGTCGTGACAACCCAGCGTCAATGTTGACTAAAGGGTAGAACTCGAGAGTTCTCCGGGCCTTTTCAATTCCCCCCTTGTAAGGGACAAGAGCAGGATCGTTCCGGGGGATGCGACGAATTGGAGATTTGGAACGTGTAAGAGCAACGAGTGAGTCGACGAGCCTGTCGACGGAGATCAAATGGCCTGAGGCGATGTTGAAAATCTCGAAAGAGTTGCGGGACGGAAACAAGGATATTTTATTGAATGATTTGGTGAGATATTCAATTGTGAGGAGGAAGGCATCCACGCAATCATCAATGTGGAGCAGATCAAGCTGAGACAGGGACGGGATTAATAATGGGTAGGACTAATTATAGAAGGAAGGGGGGGATAACGTGCCACTGACCTGTTGGTTTCCGTTGAACATCTGAACGACTTGATGAGAGATGGCCTGAGTCGCGATGGAAGGTATTAATCGGTCGGGGTGATCATACGCGCCACCATAAACTGTTGAAAGTCTCAGAGCAGCCGCACGAATACGTCCTGCCAGCCTGGTTTTCCCTCCCGTGAGAAGCTGCCTCACAAGGTTCTCGGCTTCGAGCTTCGTTTGACCATAAGCATTGACGGGTGCAGTCACTATGCGCTCATCCATTGATTGACCCCTCCTCGGATAATGGTACACATCGAATGAGCTTGGAAAGATAAACCATCGCCTCCCCTTATCGAGAGAATTAAGCCGAATCAGCGCGTCAAGAACCATTTGCGTGCCGCGCTCGTTAATGTCAGAACAATCCTTCCGGTTCTCCATGCACCAATCCGCTCGGGAGACTGCCGCCAGGTGAATGACACCTGAGATTTCATTTGTGAAAGCTGACGACAGCGTCGAGATATTACGTATATCACCGATATGGACTTGAAGCAGAGAAGATGCTGAAGGAGATAGTGTAGAGAGTTCTAACTCGTCCTCGTAGAAGATCGTGTCGAGAATCGTAACAGGCGTCCTGGCAGCTAATAGACGCCGAACAACATGTTTCCCTAGTTTACGCCAAATTGAGATATTACCATTCAGCCAGGCACGTCCTATGATTGAAGCGCACCAATGTTCCCTCCACCTCCAGTGATTAGTACGCGCCCAGGGTATTTCATCCTGCCGGATTGATCTGTGTCCGACGGCGAAGACTGAGTGTCACTGCCAACACCTGACGGAACATAGGGAAAATACTAATCGATAAGTTAAACAAGGTCAGTGTTTGTCCATACGAGCTCGAAGCGCCAACGCACTCGGGTGAACAGAAGGAGACAATATGCAACGACCACGAAGAGGATGAGCTTTTGGATAGCGGATCGCCCAAATCCCGTATTGAAAATTCCCCAGCGGCCTAGCCGCTCATGGTGGTCATTCATGCTGTGCAAGCCTTGAGGCAGAGGATTGAACAAGCAGGAGCTAGGCAAACTTCCTTACGAATGACTGGGGGCGTGTCTGCACTGGAAAGTGAATGCAAAAATACATTTGCAATTTGGATGAACACTTCGGGATAGACATTGAAGAGGAAACTGGAAAAAGAATTCTGGATGGGGATTGAATCCGTGAATGAATTCGAACCGTGTACAGCTTTCTCGCCACATGGGAGAGATTTTCGCTATTTCTCTCATCCAATAAGTAATTCCTCCCTATAACGTAAACCTGGTTACGGTGGTTCCTGCACAAGGTTCGTGCAAGATTCGTGATGATGATGATGATGTTTTCATTTTAGAGTACGTAACTGTGCCTATCGGCATATGCCGTACTATGATGACACGGGTGAAAGATGTTTGAGACATAGGTGAAATGGTGTGGGTCTTGTATCTAGGTGTGAGTGATGCATCGAGATTCGGAAGGTAGGAGGGAAAATAAAGTGAAGTAATAACACAAAGGAGAGGTGCATGGCACCCTCGGCGTGTGTTCACGGAGGTGGTTGGTAGTTGGGGAGAGTCGCGTGTATTAGGAAGTGGGAGTAAGAATAGGTTAGAAATGAAGTATGGATGGGGCATATGCGTATAAAGTGGTCTATGTCATAGGTAAAGGAGAAGAAAAGAGATAAGAAAAGAGATAAGAAAAGAAAGACAAGTTGAGAGTTAGGTGCCCGCAGATTGCGTTGCATACAAGGGGAAGCGCTCCGTTTCGCGGATGAATCGGGAGGTGTGTGGGATGACCTTCGGGTGGGAAAGCAACTGGGTCAGATCAAAGGCTTTGATAGATTTGTCCTTGATGGAGGTCAGAATAATGGCCCTCTTTAGCTTAAGACGTTCGCGGGAAAAGCGGCGGCAGGTGAAGAGGTAGTGCTCTACCGATTCGGGTTCTGAGCACAGTGGGCAGTCAGGTGAGTTGGTCCGTTTCCACCTAGCTAAATAGGCGCGTAGAGCAGTGTGTGCAGAGCGTAGCTGGAAGAGGATGGATGACATGCCCCGTGGTAGAGTTGCCGTGGTCTTTATAAACATGCCAGGCTTCTGGTTGCCACGGACGCGTCGATGGAAAGCTGCCTTTGTGGTGGGAAACTCCGTGTCTTTTCCCTGCTTGCGCAGGAGTTGCCGAGTTGCCGCTAGGGAGATGGGTGTGTATGTGGTGTTGGGAGTGTCGGGGTTTGTGGCTTTTTTTGCTAGAGAGTCCGCTTTCTCGTTTCCCGGGATGTCTTGGTGTCCTGGAACCCAATCGAGATGGATGTGTAGATTAGGGTGCGTGGTGCGTATGTCCTCATATTCACCCAAAATCTTCAAGATGATGTGTTGGCCCGGTTGGTGCCTGGGTGGGTGTGCTAGGGCTTTGATGGCTGCTTGGCTGTCTAGGCATACGATGACTTTTGTTGTGTCTGAGGGAAGAAGTCGTGCAATGTCTAGTGCAAGCTTGATGCCGACCAGCTCTCCCTCGTAGATGGAGTGGAGGTGGGAATCCCCGAGTCTTTGGGATCTGGAGAGCTTGTGGATTGGTGAGTATGCTCCCGCTGCCGTGCCCGCATCCGTTCTGGAGCCATCTGTGTAGACGATGAACTCTCGGTTGTTGAGTGTTAGGTCCCAGTGGCGTTCAATCGCTTCTTCCTTGGAGGGTGCGACGTAGGTTGTGAAAGGGTGAGGGATCCAGGGGGGGCAGGGGAGCGGGTGGACTAGCTCCATGCGCTCATGGAAAGCGGGGCGTTGTGGGGAATGGAAGATTGCATGTAAAGCTGAGCGGTGGGATTTGACATTTTGTCGTAGACAGCGTCGGGCTAGTGTAGCTGCTGGGTTAGAGGGTGGGAGCGTGAGCAGCCTGGCCGCTGCACATGAAGTTTTGCGGTCGAGGCGGAGCCTAGATGAGGGGAGTCCGCTGTCATGTCGAAGTGCTTCCAGCGGTGTGGTACGGAAAGCCCCTAGTATCAGGCGTTGGGCCGACTTTTGGGTGGTCTCTAGCAAGTTGGCATTGCGGCTGTTGACTCCATGTTGGTGCCAAACTACTGCCCCGTAGTCTGAGGCCGGGTAGACACATGCATTGAGAAGGCGGAGCATCTGGCCACTGGTTGTACCCCATGTGGTTTTGGCAAGCCGAGCAAGTGTCATTAGCCTAACTTGGCCTTTTTTTGCCGCTCTGGTGCCTTGCTCCTTCCAGCGGAGTTCGGTGTCTAAAGTGACTCCTAGGTAGGTGGCTGAGTTGGAGACAGGGATGGGTGTGTTGCCGAAGAGGAGGGGTGTAGGGTCGAGTTTAGCTCGGTTGCGGGTGAAGATCACATATTGTGTCTTCTTGGTGTCTATGGTAGAGCCGTGTGTTCTTTCCCAGTTGCGTACTTCGTTCCCGATCCATTGGAGCATTCCTCTTGCTTCTTCCACCGAGCGAGCGCTGGCCAGGTATGCAACATCATCTGCCCAGCCCAAGGAGCTGGTGTTTTGGGCACCTGTACAAATATCGAGGAGATCAGCATTGTAAAATAAATATAAAATTCCAGATAAGGGTGACCCCTGTGGGATTCCGACTTCACAGCTGTCCTGGGGGGAGGTGTGGTCTCCGCATATGATGGAGGTGCGTCTTTCCGTTAGGAAAGAGGCCACTATGTTGGTGATGGAGGAGGGGATCTTGCGTTTCCGTAGGTTGTGTATCAGGCGGGGTTTGGAGACCGTTGGGAAGGCATTTTTAACATCTATGAAGAGGGCTGCAACTACGCGATCTGAGCGCCAATCATTTTTGATGGACTCTGTGATCGTGACAAGGGCGTCATCGGTCGCCCGGCCTGGTCTGCATCCAAAGTGAGTATTAGGGAGAGTGTGGTGAGCTTCTGTTAGGTAGGAGAGCCGTGTTGCTAGTACTCCTTCAAAGATCTTCCCCATTGTGCAAAGGAGCGCAATGGGTCGGTAGGCATTGGGGAGGGAGTAGTCAGGTTTCTTTGGTTTTCGCAGGATTAGGGTTACTGCATCTCGCCAGGGAGCCGGATAATATCCAATCCGCCATGCCCCAGCTAGGATGTCAAAGAGTGGTTGTCGGATGTGATCCCAGATCTTCTGGAGTGCTAGGACCGGGATTCCATCTTCCCCCGGGGCTTTGTTTGGGGCCATACGTCGGATCTGGAGGTCAAGTTCTTGAATGTTTAGTGGAGGACACTCTAGTTCCGGTGGGTAGGCAGGAGAGGAGCCGATGTCTGACAAGTCCGGTGTGACTGAGGGGGCGAAGAAGGTTTCTCTGAAGAGCTCGGCTTGTGCCTGGGGGGAAGATGTTTGGGAGTTGTCTTGGCGGGTTAAGGGGGGGATGGGTAGGTAGGTCCGAGTACGCGAGGTCAAAGCTGCAGCTTTGAATAGAGCGGCGTCACCAGTGATGTTGGCAAGGAAGTTGCGCCAGTGGTCACGTTTCTGTTGGCGCACTGCAGATTGGAAGTTGTGTCGTGCTGACTTCCATTCCTCCAGGGCCTCAGGGGTGCCTTGTCTTTTGGCACGTCGGCGGAGGCGGCTGGATGAGCGTTTGAGGGCCGTTAGATCGCGTGTCCACCAGCGTTTGGCGTAGGGGGAAGGCTTGGACCATGGTGTGTGTGCATCGGCGGTTGCCTGGATGATGTTGGTGAGTTTGTTGACTGCCGCGTCGATGGTCTGGCGAGTGGCTGTAACGGGTGTCCAGTCTCTTTCTAGCCGTAGGCCCAGTTCTTCCTGGAATGAATCCCAGTTTGTGGATGACCAATTGCGCTTGGGGTGGAATGGAGTACGGGGGAGGTTGATTGCAAGTTCATGGATGATTGGGAGGTGGTCTGAGCCATGGTCATAGAGGGGGTCGCTGGATGTTAGACACTTGATATAGTAGTTCTTGGCTGCAGCTGTGGCGAAAGCCAAGTCAATGACGGTTTCATGGCCTTGAGTGTTGTGGAACGTGGCTATCCCCGGCTCAGAGGTGAGCGTAGCTCCGAAAGCGGCCATGGTCTCGATGAGTTGGTCGGCCTCATCTTCGCTGGTTTGGGTCCGGCTAGGAAGATCCCACAGGGGGGCATGAAGGTTGAAGTCACCCAGTATTACTACTGGGTCATTGGGAGAGAAGCTATCTAAAATGGGTGGAAGGTGGGGTAGGGACGAAAAATCTGGCGGGTTATATACATTGATAAAAATAAAGGGTCTTTGAGTGTTTGGAAAGGCAAACTGTATAACGGAAAAGTTGTTGGCTGGGGATGGGAGTGGAGCATAGTATGAAGCAGGGATCCGTCGATTGACATATATAACAGAGAGGTTTATTTTGGTGTGATCTGTGGGTGAGGTGATGGGTGTGGCCAATAGCCACGAAGGGTGGTTGGGGATGAAGGGGGAATCATCAATGAAACAGGAGTAAGGCTCTTGGATAAATAGAACATCGAACTCATCCATGGATGAGTCATTGAGGAGAGCATTATGAACAGATGCATTATGGTGGGCGTTATATTGAAAAATTTTGAAAAAGGGAAAAATATTGTCGGGAGGGTGGTTAGCCTGGGAGGGTTGATTGTTTTGGGTGTGATTAAACATGGGTGGGGAAGAAGAGGTTGGTAGGGGAGTTGTGTTCGGCTAGACGATGGGCCACCTCTGCAATGATTGGGCAAGCAGGGTCCGTGGCCAGGTGGTCTCCTTTGCAGAGCGTGCACTTGACGTGGACATGAGTGCAGGATTCCCGGTCTGGGCAGGCCGGGTTGTTGGGGCAAATGCAAGAGCTGAGAGAATGCGGGCCTGCACATCGCGGACACGCCAAGGGTGCTGTGCATCTCGCTGCAGTGTGTCCTGGTCGTTGGCATTTGTGACATTGGGTTAGAGAGCGGCGGCTTTTTTCTGTTAGGTGGGTGGTGCCTTCAAAAACGATGCCCCTGGCGATCGCTATGTTGGCCTGAAGAGGGTCTGAGAGGTGGATAATGATAGAGGAGTTTTGTTTGTCCGGCAGCCGTGCTTTCTTTTCGTTGGCCCATACCACCTGGTGGGCTGATGCCAGCACCGTGGGGTTTTCCCTTCTGAGCTCCTCCAGAGCTGTGGTGGCTTTGGGGTCGAACGAGCACGGGATGCGGTGGACAATGACAGCATAGACTGGGCGACGAATGGAGAGTTGGTTATAGGGCTCACCAAGGTGGCGCATCCAGCGTGCATCCCTGCGAATGCGATCTGCTCCTTCTTTCGTGAACATCGTGAGGATGAGGTCTTTGGAAGGCAAACGCCCCACCGCTTGAATCCTCAGGGGATTGCCACTGTTATCGCGGAGGTCCTCTTTTTCGAGGGCGGAGTTTAGATTGGCACGGATGGTGATGAAACTCGCCTCCGTCAGCACTGGTGGGGCGTCTAACTGTTGGGCTAGTACGACGTCGCATGAGGTATCACGTGGTTTTCGAAGGGGAACAGCGGTGTTGGAGGGGGGAGCGGACCATGCATTCGACAAGGTTAAGGCACTTCTGGGGCGTTGGTGGTCACCGTTGGGGCCAGCTGATGGGCTTGGCTGTGTGTTCTCGAGGCGGTCAAGGCGGTCATGTAGGGACGCGAACTGTCGCTGTATCTCGTTGTTCATGTTATGTAGTGGTGTTGAGTTACTTGTCTGGAGTAGGGCGTTGTGGAGGACTGTTTCCGCCACAGAAATGAGTTCGTCGACCTTTTCAGCCGATAGCTGTTTGGTTTTCCTCGCTCCATCGGGTCGGTGGCCTTTCAGCATGTTAACTAGTTCGCGTGCCGAGGATATCAGGTCATCTGGAGCTGACAGGAGTTTCTGTGCACGTTGTGTTGTGGTGGGGGTGAGGGGCGGAATGCCCCCTGTTAGGAAAGGATTGTTGTCAGCGTCCGTGGCGGCGAGGCCCGAGATCCTCTGAGACAGTGGAACTGAGGGAGAGGAGGAGTTCGCGTTGGTGCGATGTTGAGAGCGTGGCCGGTACATGTGCTCGGGGGCGAGTATGTGTCTAAAGAGGCAGCTTTTTTTTTTGACTCAGCCGGTTAAGATTCGTGATGGATTGGAACGTTGTTGAGTGACGAGTCACGCCAACGCCCTCTGAATTCATCCAAATCAATGGGATGATGTCCCCTCATTCCATCATGCATGATTCATGCTACCGTGGCTGAGCTCCATTTGCGTGAGAACTTTGTGCTGCAACGCTATATTTCCAATTCGATGTTTGTCCCTGGGTTCCAATAGCATCTTTTGCAGGTTTTTTACGTGCTTCTATCAATAGACACAAAAATGCGGCTGCCCAGGTTTTCGTTACGGCCTGGGACCTGGGTAACGTGACGAACTTAGGGCCGGTAGAAGACAGCTAATCTTTATATAACCAAGTATGTATGCAGAGGCAGGGTTACTGGTGTCTAATAGAAGGACGTGCTGGCATGGCTGACCCTGCCGCGGGGGGAAATATAAGGAACTCCGCGTCTTCTGCGACGTTCGCAGGCTGAATTGGTCAGTTAGAGGGACAAGTGAATAATTCAGAAAGCTGCGTGCGTTCATTTCGTTCGGATGATGCTGTTAATGGGCCCCACTGAGATGTCGGATACCGTCGATTAGTTGGGTATCCGCATCTGCAGGCTTCGCCCTTAAATACATGCGTGAGTGGCAACAGTGATACGCGAGAGACAAAAGGAAATGAACTACAAAGGTAACTGGACGCTTTGTGGTCCAGTACCAAGTTGCAGGAGCGCCCCGACGCCTCTCCCAAAGCTCAATTTGTCCGGTCCGAGCTCCTCCAATCCGGCGGTGACGTACCGGGTGGATTACCGCCCCTGACCGCCTGTGGCGTTGGACTGCTAACTTCAACAGATGCCGCCAGGAATTACACTTACATAGAAGATATTCGCTCGTTCACTAATTGTACTTGTTACGCTTATCAAGTGCTTTCACGATCCAATTACGACGAATTGGAACGAGCAGGCGCCCGACTCTTGAATGAAAACTTCTGCTGCTCCCAACCCTTCCGACCGACCCTTTATTGCCTTCTTACCGCGACCGCCATGATTCCATAGTCGCAAGCAATATCCAAAAGTATGGATTCCTATGTGAGCGGTACATCATGAAGGGATCTTACAGTCAACAGTGTGACATGAGCAACTGGTTCACGCGGTGCGGCCCCAGTCGTCCCAGCATATTTCTGCCAGTTATCGATATCTCCCGCCATAATCATATTGTCCTCACCTGTGTCAAAATGCCATGTAGAGTTCCTAATCAGCCTAACGCTAGGCAACTCTGGCTCAGGTCCATTAAACCCTTCTCCCTCCTTCCTTCCCGCCTTTCTATTATTTAGCCCAAACAGCCGACCGAGCAGCAATTATCTTTTCAAGCAGATGGAACGTCCCAGGAAGGGCTTCTCCCAAACAATGTAACGGGAATCTGTGCTCATCCGACGCACGAGGGGTCACCCAACTCCCAAATCGCTTTGGGCCGAGCACGAATGTCAACAGGTATCTCATTCAATCCAAACAAGTCCCCCTAGGTCGCTTCTTGTGTCCTCGGAAGAGAACTGGCCACGCATTCAAGAAAAGACCACACAGCCAGGGACCCCCAATGATGGAAGACCTGAGGACGTAGCAAGCTTCGTATCCATCTCTTGAGGGGACGGCCGCGGCTGGCAAGGTACTTTCACCAGCGGAGCTAGCCATATCAAGCGGCTTGGTGGGGGATTTACAGCAAGAGAGAAAAATCTTTAGGGAAATAATAAGCGTGCCATCTTCGTGTCCCGATGGGGACCGCTGCATAGAGACCAAACATAGCAGGATCCTCCCACTTGTTGACTGTGTTCACCGCTACATGCCTTCTGTGTTATGTCACAGTGGGCAAACAGCTCAACCCCCTAGCCAAGGGCCTCCTGATCACGATATCTGGGACCTGATTGCGTGCAATGCTTACATCGTCTGAGCAGATGGCCTTGTTAGTCTCAGTCTTGGGACCGGATGTTGGCTTTGTCGAATGGAGATGTGCGACGATGATGCAGCTCTCACCGGAGGTGACGGCAACAAAAGTCAACAACTACCATACTGTCCGTGCTTTGCGTGAACAAACATTATGATACATATGGTACGTGCACTATAAAGTGTTACAAATGAAACACAGAGTCAGCTAATGACCCTGTACAGTAGTTGTGCCTACCATTACACCAATGGGTTCCGCCCGTGTACGGTTGCGATTGTGGACCCACAGCACCTTTCTTATTCACCTGTGTCGATTCGCTCGCCCCATAAGGATAAGGGGTGGTCCTTGGGCTGTACTTCCCCTGCACCCTGCCCGAGTAGAAAGTGCTTCAGGCGGATTTTGCTTTCTCTTGAATTAGCCCTTCCAAAGCACCGCTGCAGCGAGGTCGTCCGCAACGTCGGCTCAATGATCGTGATGTCACCTATTCTCGTGTATTGTGTGAAGAACGGGGTCGGTGGTGCGACGCTTTGGAATCTGGAGGGCCACGTTGATTGCACATCCCTAATTGTTAATGGCCAAGTCAGGACTAAATAGGGTCGAAAAGGGAGGTCAGTTTCACGGATGGGGGTCTTGTTGGAGTGGATATTACCGCTGGTATGTCCAAGACTGAGGAAGTCTGACTGGGCGCGTTTTTTTTCCAACTCACAACCCATATGAGAATCCCGCTGCAATACAGCCGGGAACCACATAACCTACCAAACGTGGACTCTGGGTGGACCGATGGAATTACTCGGATTGTCCGGGGTGTGTGTTTCTTCCGCCGTCGTTAGTCATGCTCCATATCATTGTTCTCTCGGATTTCCTCTGCTCTCCGGATATCGAAATGGTTAGCCCCCCGGATCCAAACGATCTGGCCCCTAACTGCCCTCGCACGTCTTCTGTTAGATGCTTGATTTCATACTTCAGACACAAGAGTCATGTTTGTGGAAAATATATTCGAATTCAACTCTCCGTGCCGTTACGGCGTTTGGGTAATGTGTATGGTTCTGTACAGTTGTCTATACAACCTGGGGAAGCTTATCCATTGGGTCTGGCTGGTAACCTCGTATCGCTAAGGCTACATGGAGGTATGAGTGAGAGATAGAACAATGGCCAAAACTGGACTCAACGGGAAAGCGACTCTAGCGTTTTTTAACGGTTCGAGGTAGCACGACCGCATATTTAAGTCGGTAGGCCCCTTGTTTCTCGGTTTGCTAGCACTAATGGAAGCGAGGGTTGTGGAAGCATCCAAATTAAGACATAAGTCGGTACATTTCTTTAAAGCCTCCGTGGTAAAACAATCATGAACCTGCAAAAGCTTGAGAACTTGGAGTGATGGACAAATCGGGACGATCTTCGGGTGGAACTGGCCAAACGATGTTAGTCGGTGATGGACCGAGGCAGACGGGAGGTGCCCCGCTGACGATGCTGGAAAGAGATCCCAAAACATCATCATCTCCAACTGCAACATTACAACGGTCGAGAGTGTGAAGACTGGGGACTGCCTTCAACACCTCCATTAACTGTAGGTTGCCAGAGATGCGAAGGGAATAGATGTGTAGGATGCGTAAAGAGGATTTCTCGGAAGGGCGGCTGATGAATTCCGCAATGCTTTTTAGCACATGTTCATCTCGGGAAAGACCTTCAATCTGTCCGTCTACGTCCTCCGTGGGCGTATCCATCCACAGGCTTTTCAGGTTTGGAGCATTAACGAGGTGGAGAATGAATTCCACGGCAGTACAGAAAGATGCAAGGATTCGAATTGATCGACGTCAATTTGGCATCGAATCTTATCGATACCGTTCGAATTTCCGAGTCTGACGCTTGCCCCTTTGACTTCCAGCCTTTCCGGAAAAGGGGAATTCTGAATAATGGAGATGAATTCGCACTCAGACAGGAGGACCTTGGTTTGCAGCCCCACCAGGGACAACCGCCCTAGCCCACCAAACCCAGCCTAGTCAGCCACCTAATGACGGCCTATAGAGGGGGGGCCGTTTGGCCTTCAAATGGGCCTAAAAGGGGGTATTTACTAGTGGATGTCCTGGACATCCTGGTGAAGACTGATCCATTCACCAGGACGTCCCCAGGACGTCCTAGGATGTCCTAGATGTCCTGGGATGATTCTATAATTCAATCAAATTCAATCAAATGCTTCTGTGATTCAATCAAATTTGTATTATTCAGGGTAGACATTCAAAACATAATGCCGCAATTGAATCTGATTTCCCATGACAATCCTCAGGCTGCTCAACTGTCTGTGCACAATGCTGGCCACTGTCTGAAGGGGTGTCAACACTGTTTCCCACGTCCCCAACACACTTTACGCAGATGGATAGCCCCTTTGAACAGCTTCCAGAATATATATTTTGAGACTGAATTGACCAATAAATCATCGAGGAAAACGCAAAATACTTTTTTGGACACGAGTCTTTTGGGTTAGTGTGGCTGTCCACCTCATGTCTGTGCACAGTGCTGGTCATTGTCCGGAGGGGTGTCCAGACTGTTTCCCACGGTGTCAACACACTTTGCGTAGTTGGATAGCCCCTTCAAATAGCTTCCAGAATATATAATTTGAGACTAAATTGACAAGCAAGTTATTGAGAAAAATGCAAAATACTTTTTTGGACACGAGTCTTTGGGATATCAGTGACCCGGGAATTTCGATGACTTCGATGACTGTCAGTGAAATTTAGTGGCCCAAGCACTATCCCAAAGACTCGCATCCAAAAAAGTATTTTGCATTTTTCTCAATAACTTGCTTGTCAATTTAGTCTCAAATTATATATTCTGGAAGCTATTTGAAGGGGCTATCCAACTACGCAAAGTGTGTTGACACCGTGGGAAACAGTCTGGACACCCCTCCGGACAATGACCAGCACTGTGCACAGACATGAGGTGGACAGCCACACTAACCCAAAAGACTTGCGTCCAAAAAAGTATTTTGCGTTTTTCTCGATGATTTATTGGTCAATTCAGTCTCAAAATATATATTCTGGAAGCTATTCAAAGGGGCTATCCATCTGGATAAAGTGTGTTGGGGACGTGGGAAACAGTGTTGACACCCCTTCAGACAGTGGCCAGCATTGTGCACAGACATTGAGTTGGACAGCCACACTAACCCAAAGACTCGCGTCCAAAAAAGTATTTTGTGTTTTTCTCGATAATTTATTGGTCAATTCAGTCTCAAAATATATATTCTGGAAGCTATTCAAAGGGGCTATCTATCTGTGTAAAGTGTGTTGGGGCCGTGGGAAACAGTGCTGACACTCCTTCAGACAGTGACCAGTATTGTGCACAGACATTAAATAAGTTGGACAGCCACCATCAAAAGACTCGTGTCCAAAAAAGTATTTTGCGTTTTTCTCAATAATTTATTGGTCAATTCAGTCTCAAAATATATATTCTGGAAGCTATTCAAAGGGGCTATTCAACTATGTAAAGTGTGTTCAGACCGTGGGAAACAGTGTTGACATCCCTCTAGACAGTGGTCAGCATGCGCACAGACCATGGGATGGACGAGTATGGCATTCCGGGACAATTTGCAACCATTGAATCAAACTGAATTAGGACATCTGAGGACATTTGCAACAAATGAATGAAACTGAATGGCCAGGATGTCCTAGGATGTTTATAGTGAAAAAGGCCTTTTAGGCCCCATGCAAACGTCCTGAGGTCCCCCCTATAAAGGCCCACATAGTGGTTGTCCAAGGTGAATTTTGTTCCAATCAATTTCCAAATCAATACAAAGGATCACGTGTTTTCTTCACGCTAAAAACAATATTATATTCGTTAATTCTTCCCCCCAAATCGCCCTGAAAATTCCCCTGGCCTTTCTTCTCTTTCAGCAGTGGGGCGGTTAGCCAAACTTGTGTCACTGTGCGCTGTGGTACATTGGTATCTCCTCTTGAACAAGTGCTCTACCCGTGTACGTGCGAATTCATGCATTTGCAACAAGACAACTCCCAAGGCCCTCAGCTTGATTTGAAACGACAAGAGTAGCGTTGGGGATGAAAATTGAGTGTCATCCATGGTGACTGCGTGAGTGAATCCGTTCAGGGCCGGGCCCTGATTGGTTTAACTCGAGGTGGGTTTGAATGCGCAACAAGATGCCTTCTTCATGAGGATTGTTTAAAGACTCAAACTGCAGTGCGTCCTTCCCAAGATGGCCTGTGTTCAAAGTGCCTCAAGCCTGGGGAGCGCGACATTATCATGCATTATTGGTAAGAATCCGCCCGGCTTCCAGGAACTATGGCCCTCCCTGATTGGGACCTACACTGACGGGCAGGGTACTATGCTTTGCTTTTGGACTTTGGTAGACAATCCACAAGTAACATAAGCGCCCAGGGAACATAACCCCCAAAAAATCCATGCATGAGTCCGTCTGTGAATCATACACAACCTCCCGAACCAGCAATGCAATGTTTATTAGCACAAGTTGGCGCGAAAGAACAGGAGGCTCACACATAAGCTCATCTGTTTCACAGCTCAAAACCTCGTGGGCACTGAGTCAAACTCCATTTTCCGCGACTGCTAATGACCGTGCAATGGGTGATGACATCATTGGCCACAGACATTAGCGAAATGTCGAATAAGGCTGTGAAAGAGAGAATGGGTAAGGAACATGGCATGAAGGGCAGGGGAAGTTATTGGGGAGGGGAGCTTTTAGAGCGAGAAGAGTTACAAAATAAATGCAGAAAGTTGGCTTACAAATCAAGATGAGGACCCTGGATAGCAAGGGAATTTGCAATAATACAGGACCTCTTGAAGCCACCCATCTGACTGTAGGATTTTTATCGGGCAAAGTGTTGAGCAGATGTGGGTGCGAGACAAGATCAAAGAAACCTGTTATGTCAAAAGCGAGTGAAGTAGCTGTAAGTTTCATCTCGTGGATGGCTGAGAGGGTGTTGTCTTCTGCAGATCGATCTCCCTCTCATTCCTCCGAATTGGGTGACCGGAAGGAGTTCGTGTTGGCTGGCATAGTATGAAAGCCGGATAGCAACGATGGACCTCTAGGAGCTGTATAGGTCTGTAGGAGCGGGGGTGAGTGTAGTCTGCCTTATTAGGTTTATGCAGTCGTGGAATGGAGCAGGGTGGTAGCCAACTTGGATGGCTGCTTGGACAATAGGCGTGATTTCCTTGTCCGCGACACTCCAGGCTATTTTGTAAGCTGTCCCACAGAGTTCGCTGGGTACAGGGACATTGAATGACGCTGCCTTCAATAAGGCACGCACCTTTCGTGACGGAGTACCATGTGATGGCGGTATGTTTATGATCGAGGTTGACAGCCGGAGGGTTGGGGGACGAGGGAGAAGGTGGCTGCGGAAGGTTTGACTTGTTCATCCCTGTTGTCATCTTGCATTTCTGGGCTCGGAGACATTGGTGAAGAACTCCTTTCTGCAAACGCAATCGGATGCGTCGTTGTATGTTGATTGGAGGTGGGTGTGACTGTCGTCTGTTGCCAGCAGGGGGATCGGGGTCAGGGCTGCCCCGATTGGGGGTTTGTGTTCATTTCCTGGTGTCTGTCTGGAGCTACGGTTCATAGCCGTTGGTTATCGCGAGGTTGAAGGGCAGTTAACGAGTCTGAGAGGGTGTAGAGCGTGGTTTTTCAAAACGTGTTCGATTGTGATGGTGGCAGCTGTGAAAGATGGAGATGGGAGTTGAAAGGGCACGTGAATCGGAAGGGGCCCTTGACACCAGGTTGCGCAACTACTTACAAACCAAATGCGGGAACTTAGCTTGATTTTGGAATACAAGTGATGGACCCTGGGTTAGCCAGGTAATTTGCTAATTTGCAATAATAGAGGACCTCTTGCACGGGCATTCAGTTCACGCTTTCAAGACCCGCTACAGAGTAGCGGGAATTTCCAAATCAATACAAAGGACCACGTGTTTTCTTCACGCTAAAAACAATATTATATTCGTTAATTCTTCCCCGGCTTCTTTTCGACTCGGTGCTCTGGCTTCTAATTATCATCTCTTGTCGGACAATTGGACCTCCGATGGTCTCCCTGACACACGGTACACACATGTCTGTAACGGCAGTTGGTATGAACCACACCGGCATTGAATCGTCGACAGATTTCAATTTCTGATTGGTCTTGTCTCCAACTGGCACCCCTTCGGCTTCCCCCTCCGGTCGTGTAGGAGCAGAAGATGAAGAAGGAAGGGTGGCATGACTCGACGTCGTCGAAGGTGAGTCTTGCATCTTCTGATAGTCTTTTCCGGAACTTAACATCGAATTCGATGACGGCCCCATCCCGGAACGGTCCCGCCGACGCGAAAAGATCGCGCATATATTCCTTGTACGCTGACAACTCGCCTCGGCGGTGCGGATACACGAACAACATCGCCCTGGAGTAGATATCATAGGCCACCATCCAGGCAGCTTCTCCCCGCACTGATACAAACTTGAAGTGTCGCGATCTATGGGCAATATCTTCATCCAGGGCCTGCTCGACCTGGATTGCATATATCTCGTTGAAGTCGACAAATCCATTGAGGAGAATGGCCTCCCAGAGCGAGTCGGGGAATCGAGGCTTGTTGAATTGAACCCTGAGTTTTCTAAGAGCCTTCTTCCTACGCTCTATGAAATATCCCCGAAGCGCATTCGTTTTTATTGCAAGCGGCAGGTTCCGGTAGCTCCGATGCCTATCAAATTTGGCTCCGGCGAAGGAAATTTCGCCATCTTCTCCGCTTGAGCCACTTGGATCGTCGTCGTCTAGTTTGCGGAGTTCGGCGTCACTGAGGAATGTTTTGGGTCTTTTGATTCTTTTCCTCGACTCATCTCCCGGGATTGCATCATGCCCTCGTTTCGGACGTTCTCCTGAGTCTCGTTGCTTGCCTTTTTCGATATTCTCGATCCCTCCAAGGTCTCCTTTCCCTTTTTCGAACTGATCAACCAGGGAGAAGATCCGCTCTCTGTGTTTGTGCAGCCTGTATTGCTCAATAAGATTGAAAGCTGCTTTCCTGGCCCGAACATAATCTTTGGTCGAGGCCGCGTCCCGAAGTATGCTCTCAAGAATGCCCTTGGGTTCTTTGTCAAAGATCGACCTTGCTTCGGGTTTTTCCCCCCCGTCTGTGCTCGGTTCGCTCGCTGTGATTATTTCAGATTCCTTATTTCTTTCTCCAGCGCTAACCTCAATTATTTCGCATTCCTCCGCCACGTGGGTCATCAAGGTTGGATTGTGTGAACGAAGGACGAGAGAATTCGTTGAATTCGAATGCATTTATGCCGAAGAAGAAACAGCACAGACGAAGAGAAGAAGGACAGAGCCAGGTTACAACAAACCGGAAGCGGCCGAAAAAATACAAAAGGCAAGGACCGGGAAACAACCACTGAGGAACAGTCAGGCTGTAAACTAAAACCAAGATCAGAAAAGGAGGGCCACGACAAAAAACGCTCAGCGGAACCACCGATGCGTACGGTGGAGTGATCCGCCCGACAAAGTCAATTTAGGATCTGCGAGAGCGGCATGATTGAACGAGTGCAGCATAACAGCATGCGACGAAGCCGACAGCGGCCGAAGGCGAGAGAAAAGTTAAATGTGTAAATGCCAGGATTCCACACATAATCCTGGGCTCACATACTTTCCCTCGCGTCTGCTGTGCGCCTCGAGGTATCTGGCTGTATTGGTACGCCATATGCACCCTTTGCACACTGATCATCTGCGCATGTAGTTTTCAGGTCTAGCAGTCTTATAGGTTGCTCCTAGGCCAATCTCCACTGTTTTCGGGTAAGTTACCTCAGTTCCTTTGTCCTCGCGTCCGCTGCACGCGCCGGCCTTCGTGTCTTCTTTCTCTTTTCGCGTCCGCTGTACGCACCAGCCTCTGTGCGCCTACTCTGTCAATCTTGCCTGGCATCCGCCGTACGACTCGGTTCGTGTGCCTTTTTATCTGTTTGGTGTATCTTCACGTTCTAATTCTCGACTTTTATTGCCGCCTTCGACATGGTACCGATTGTAAGTTTTCAAGGGTGAAAGCGTTGTGACCTTCGGCAGGCAGGACCCCGTGTATTTACATATCGGCGCTAGGTTTTTTGTTTTTTGTTTTGTACTCTGCTTGCGTCTTGCTATTATTTCAGCGTCACCCACCACCATCCCCAAACTCCATCTTAGTATTTTAACCGGGTCGTTCTCAATTGAGGCTTCGGCGGTGGTCGTGGCTGTCGCCACTCGTCCGGTCGCACACAGGATCGTAGTGTACTATTTTTGGAGTAATCGATTAATCCTATTTCAGCGCTCTCGTAACCGACCAGATACAGGGGTTGAAGGTGTCTCTGCCCTGCTCAATCGCTGACCCCTCGTCTGGGGCGTCTTTTTAATTTTAATCCCGACTCTCAGTGTACACACAACGCTTCATCTAGAGCATCCTAGATGCTGTTTATGCCAGTTCGGAGACTGCATTTGCCTTTTCCTTACATGTTCCTCTGCCTTTGCCGTGAGATTCGTCTTCATTATGCCCGCATTGCGTGACCTCGCAATGCCTACGTAATGTAGCCTGTAGCCCCAGACTGCTGTCCATAGCGTTGAGCGTCGGTGTAAATTGGAACGCCACATCGCAACCTTTGCTGCGGTTCTCGATGGTTATGGTTAGACTGGTTAGCCCGCCAAATGAAACCTGACATCATGCAGGATTTGGATACATGGATACAACTACCAAAATCCGCCCATCGATTCATGTCAACGCAATATGTTTAACCAATGGTACAAACGTACTATAGTGGTACTACTACTGAACGTGATCAAACGCCTGGCTTGCCTATGGTAGTACCTAGCTGTTAATAATATTTGCGATTGCCAAGATCTGATGAACCCGGCCACCATAAGCATATATATTAACCTTCAAGTTGCTTCGAATTCTTGTCACTCGTTCAGGCACGCCAGAAGCATACACGCCTGTTCAATCAACTCCATCTCGAATACCCCGTCTTCTGTAATCACCAAGGGGTAAACCAATTATCGTATTGTTCGTGTGCACACACATCCGCATTTTTGAGGGAGTTAGTTTCAGGAGTCCATTTCAGTTTAAGGGTTGCGCGTGTTCGTTATTTTTCGCCACATATCAAGTGTCGTATTGATTGATGTTCATGTTCCAATTACGAAGAACAAATCAAAATGAATGTGGGATTTTTTGAGTTGAGTTGTCGTTGGAGGAGGGGGGGAGGGGGGCGAACACAAGATCGGAATCAGCGTTTCGATCTCAAAAATAAGAAGAATAAAAGAAAATAAACGAATGTCGAAACACGGCGAGGAAGAGAAGACAGAAGAAAAAAAAAAGAGAGAAAAAAAAGAGGGGCATCACCGACGTCTTGAATGAACACCTCTGCTACTCCTAGCCCTTCCAACCAGTCCTTTGCTACTGTTTCTCCCTCCGAGGCCACCGCCCAAGATCGCATTGGGACCTTTCCTAGCCGCAAGGTAAATAAACACCGTGACAACAGCCATAAACTGGAAGGTAATCCAAGCCTGCATCACTGTGTGCATCGACGATTTTTTCACCCTGGAGACCAAAACTTGCGGTTCAAAGTACGATACGAGCGGCCGATCTCGGTCATCTTCACTCCCGGAAGCCTTTTATAAAAAAAAAAAAAAGAAGTTTGTCAGGCGTAAGTAACGATGGATTTGCGCAAGGGGACGTACAACCTACAGAGGTTCGAACGTCATCGTCATCGTCATCGCTACCGCTACCATGATCATCATATGAGTCCTCAGTCGGATATTCATCCCCCCCGCGTCTCGACGACGAAAGACGAGGTGGGGATCGAGAAGAAAAGAAAGAATCGGACGGTCCAGAAGGAAGTGGTTGTCGGGGAGTGGGAATATAATCACCCCCTCCAAAAGGGGGTACTTGACTAGAAAGAGGAGAGCGACCTGCAGCTGAAAACGCCAGTCCAACACCAGGACCAGACACCTGAGCCGGAGTCACAGCCGCAGCTGCACGTACCGCCGTCGACGCGAGGCCATACGTGGATATCCTCCTCATTCTCGTCCTATCCATTCTATCCAACGCCCTCTCTCTCCTCACGAGAGGCGATTCATCATTATCCCCCTCTACGACATCACTGTCCTCATCAGGGTAAAGGTTCCACGTAGCATCCCTAACCCTGGCACTGGGCAGCTTCATCGACTCCCCAAGACCACTGATCAATAGATTCCTCTCCCTTCCATTCCTGCCCGCCTCCCTGCTATCAATCCAAACGGCAGGTCGAGCAGCAATCGCCTTATCAAGCAAATGAAACGTGTCAGGAGGGGCATTTCGCAGACAACCCAAAGGCAATATGTGCTCATCCGACGCACGAGGATCACCAAATCGCATCGGATCGAGCGCGAATGCTAAAGCGTTCATGGCCTCCATCGAACCATCGTTCAAGACAAGTTCTTGGTGATGAGAATGTTGCTGTCCTTCCTGAGCGTGATCGTCAACAATAGACGTCTCATCCCTCGTAAGGTTCGCCTCATCCGCCGGGGTTATGACGTCCAAACCAAGTAACTCCGGCTCCAATGGCGCTTTCCAATCACCGCCAAATTCACTTCCTAACTCGCTCATCAACGTCTTTGTGGCCCGAAGTGGACTCCCGCTGTCAGAAGGGGCCACGTTCAAGAAAGGATTACGCAGTTGATGATGCAAGATAACTGGAGACACAAGCACATTGGACGTTTCGTCTTCGTCAAGGTGTGCATCCATCCGTAGAGAAAGGGATGCCATTGGTGAGGTTGCAGAGTCCGTTTTACGCGAGGTGATTGAATCGAAAGGCCTATTCGGAGTGCGATCCAAACGAGGGAAAGATATGTTAAGGTTGGCGGCGCGAGAGAGACTAGAAGGTTTGCGGGGTCGTGAAAGAGGTGTCGGAGTTGTCGATGAACTGGTAGATTCTTTCAGCGCCAATTGAGAAATAGATTCATTAGTGACTTCGGGTGGAACGAAAGAAAGAGACGAAAGAGCGGCTCTGTTCTTTCCTTTCCCCTTCGAGATTGCAGCGGTACCTGTGATCATTATCTTACTTCCCAGAGCCCTTTTCGCTGAAAGGGTTCTACTTGGGCTTGACTTCTGTTTCATTGGAGAGGCCACGAGGTCCTCATGAATGGGGAGGTGACTGGTTGACACATCGGCAGGTGGAAGAAGATTGAATGGAGGCATGCCTTGCGCTGGCGATTCCACAAGAGTGGCAGTCGTTGCGGCACTATTCTGACCAAACGGTTCGACCGAGCTCTGAGAGGATGATTTGAAAGCGTCAAGAAGGGGAGCAGTGGGGCTGTGTGATTCACCGGGAGTGACTGGCGTGGTTGTGTATCCCACTGACGGTTCTTCTTCGGACGGAGAAGGAAGGAGGGCCGTGGTGATCTCAAGAGGTCGTAAAACAGGTGTTCCAGAGGACATCTGCTTTGTTTGGGAGACGACGTTTCTAGATGGTGTGCCGGAAGGAGGTGCAAAGTCCTGTGGGCTTCCATACCAAGTCCCAGAAAATGTGCCTATGCCATGTGTTAACCTTCTCCGCCTCGCGGCCCTCAACTTCTCCTTCCTCTGTTCTTTGGCGCGCTTGGCAGCCTCTCTCCTCTCTTCCTCCCCACTGTCAGATTCTCTCTTCGCAGTTCCTTCGAGTTCATCGTTCCTCAATTGGACTCTCAATAATTCCGCTTGCAAGTTTGCAATTTCACGTTCCATCTTGCGAACACGTGTTGAGGAGGCGGCACCTTCGTCATGAAGCTGAGCCATCAGCTCGTCTACACGTTCTTGCAATTGTTCATTTAGGTCCTTCAGTAGTGATACACGTTGCGGGGTAGCCGGGAGCGCCGTTGGCGACATTGACTGTTGCTGGAGAGCAGCGAGACGAGCTGGAGGTGGCGTGACGAAATTCGATTGGTCTGATGATGAAGGGACATTTGGCGACGGACTACGCGGTTGCGAAAATTGGTTTGATTGTGCAGTGGGAGTACCCAAGTCATCGGACTCAGGCTCCCACATCCTGCGGCTTTGACCTTGTGTTGAAGAAGGTTCGTCTAAAAGCGACTCGGTCTCCCAATTCGGGTCTAGATGCCGCAATTCGAGATAAGCGACGAATCATGGTCATTAGCATAGCGGACTGGAAACAGCATGACATACCAAAATAACTAGTATCAGAGGTAGTACGAAAGCGACGCTGGTTGTGTTTATATTGTGAAGCGAGAGGACGCAGTACATCCTCTTTATAATCATCCTCCTCCCCAGGAGAACTTAATGGTGAATCGTAGGGTGGTGGAGGAGGCGAGGACTCCTCATTAACCTTGGAGACAGGCGCGGATCTGCGTGAAGTGCGTGCAGGTCTCGGACGAGAGAAAGGAGACTCTTGAGTGCGGGCACGACTGGAAAGCATGTTGTGGCGGTGTATACAGGTAGTCCAGGACGCTACGGTCGTCGATCAAGCTACAGAAGTGGGCCGTTGGTGCCAATCCACGAAAACTTGGTGTATTATATGATTCAGAGATGGTTTTGGATCGACCTCGCCTCGTTGCAGGCCCCAGTGAATTGCAATTCATCTTACGCAGAAACAGGTCCGAAGTTAAATAAGGTCGGTGTACATAAATACAAACAACAGTTCATTGTGAGCCCCAATGGTCGGTGGGGGGGAAACCCATTTATGTAAGGCCCTCCTGTGACCATAATGTTGTTCTCTTCTAGCCCTGACATTCAACTCTCGTGTCGTCGGACGCATTTCTCCGTTGAGCCGCATGGCAGCGAGAATTTCACATGCAAAAAAATCACGAGCAGTATTTGAAATTCCAGGGTCCGTGCACACCCAGCACCGCTTCTGGCGGTCATTAGGGTAGAGAGGCTAGTATCCTGCTTATCATTGAGTGGAAACTGCAGGAAGCAAGTCGCTTCCACACTACGAAAGCCTCAAGGAGTCGAGGACATAGGTTCACAGTGTCATTACGCGAAAAGGGATCGGTTCAATTGGGGCATTATTGTCGCGAACGGTTGTTCTTCGGTGTTCCTGGCTTAAGCTCGGTTCTCAAACCCTCGCCCTATATATTTGTCAGCGGCCATTGGTTTGCGAGAGCGGATTCGGAATGGTGAGTGCGATTTCAAAGCTGTCCTCACCTGTACAAATTGTGTGGATTTCCTATCGGAACGCCTGGAGAATCTACATCATTGTTCCTGAGCGCGTCGACCTTGGCTATGTTTCAACGGAAAACCTTGAAAACTCGAAAACGCTGACGTAGAAATACTGATATGTGCGTTGAACGGCTGAAGGCGCCATCTTTAGACGACACGGAGATGGTCCTGATCCATCGGACTTCCATAAGTGGCGGACGGTAAGGAAATAAGGCAAACCTCGGAGAAATCATGTGAGCGACTGGGAAGGAGTCTGCTGTATGACGTCCTTTTACATACTAACTTTCCTTCGTCTCAACACCGAAAAGATGAACTGAATACTGGGAAGAACATCTGGCAGCCCTCAATCTTCCGCTGATATGAGGACCTTATTCTGCAGGATGACTGCGCACACTAGGCGTCCCGATAGATATGTTGAATGTAGCTTCACAAGATGCAGGCTATGAGTACTGTAGAGGCTGGTCACCTGCCTAGGCTATGAGCGCTGCGCAACGCTCACTCGACCATTTCCTACTTCCTCGTACAAATTCACGTTCGCGGGTGTTCTGTCATTACTAGCCATTCGACGACAGCGTCATACGATAGGCTTGAAACTGCGAGCGGAGTTCTGGAGCTCCCGTTGCATTCAAAAGCTATTCAGTGTGCTCTTCAACATGGCACCAGCCCAGTTTATGTTGTGTGCGACGTGCGACACGTTCCTGAATTTAGAAGCGAGGAGGTTACTGAATAAGAAGCGCGACAGTCACAATCATGCGATTCCGTGCGAGTTCGACTTGCAAGCCAGGTGAGTGTTCACGAATACTTTTATCAGCGTTGGGATTACCACTCATCTACCGAAGTTTCTATTAGAGGTTACGATGGAAAGTAGTCTATTGCCTCCCCTCCTGGTCTGACTCGTGCAGCTATACCAACACGAGTACTGTCAGGCTAGATAGTCAGATTACGGACAACCAGCCTTTAATCGCAAAAACCACAGTACCAGTTTGGCATCTCTAGGCTCAACACCCAGCTTTTTGTGCGCCTCTCAAACCTATGCATCGAAAGTGGGATTGAAAACAACTCCGTACACGATATTTTTGTTCACTCCACGACGTCGGTTCGACTTTGTTGTGTTATTCATGATTGATTACATAAGGCACCGGACCTCACGACATTAGTGCTAGCCTAATGCATTCTGGCAGCTACTCTAAAGACTCGTCCTGAAAGGTTCGAGGTCGTCGGAGTCCCAGCTTACAAACCGACCCGATAATTCATGTGGTGCATGTAAAACTAAACCAGCAATGACCTCAGCAGGTTGTTCAGGCTTAAGCAGCTTTCCTGTCGCGTGAAGATCAAAGAAACGAGTGAGCTCGTGTTCTAGCATTGCAGCCTTTCCGGGTCCCTCATTTCTAAGAGCTGTTTGCATCTGTAGATGTCATGAGGTCCGAAATCTGGCTGTCAAGGCCCCATCGGTACCCACCCCAGTATCAACTACACCTGGCCTGAGGGCTATGGAAGTAATTTCCTTCTCTTCGTTGGCGAGCGTCCTGCCCGGAGTTGGGATAAGTACAATGAGCACCCGGACGTACTGTACGATTTACCTTGCAAGAGAGTTCAGTGCTGCCTTGCTCGCCGAGTACGGTGCTGCACTAGCCAATTTACCGTTTGCAAGCCCGCTGCTAACGAGAACAACTTTTCCTTTCCTCTCGCGAAGATATGGGATGCCATCTTTGAGCATTTGGACGACAGCGAAGAAGTTGATATCAAAGAGAGATTTCCATGAATCGACTGAGATATCCTTTGATGCAATTCGGCCCAAAGGTTCAAGGATTCCAGCATTGAAAACAATGCCATCGAGGCGTTCGAAAGCGGAAATAGCTTCCGATACCGTCTGAAGGCTGACCGAAGCATTGGCCCTACTCTGAAGGTTGAAATCGGAGCATGGCAATCATTTGGTTGAGAAAATTACTCACAAATCCCCTTGGACCACCTTCAACGAGTTCGGGTGCGCGTCCGCTAGACTTTGAAGTTCTGGGGTGATCGTGCGAGATGCCGCCACAACATTGGCCCCTTTCGAGTCAAGAAGAATCTTGACGACTGCTAGGCCTATTCCCCTAAGTGCATGAACTCCATACTAGGCCCACTGTGGTCCGTATACAGCACTAACCTCGATGCGCCGGTAACGATGATAACCTTGGAGCTCATCGGGCTTTGTGGGAAGCTCAAATTATGATTACATAAGCTGTCCAAGGAAGTGATAATACGATCGCACAATATTTCTCTCCGTAACAAAGCTTACAAGGATTTTATACCAAATACCAGTTCACCGAGTCCATATTAAATAAACTCCCTACTTAGATGAAGCTTGAAGTGAAGCAAAGCCTGATCTGGAGGGCAGGCGACCATAACGCTGAGTGATTGGAGGCCCCTCGAGGAACGAGGATGAGTTTCACTTTTGGTGCGTGTGCCGGGGAGTGCAAATCGCCAGGAACGAAAGGTTCTGAGTTAAACCGAAGTTATTATATTTTTTAGTTGACGTATTAATTTTCTGTCCGGGGCATGAGATAGAATTATGAGAAGGGTGCAAGTCTCAGCCCGCTAGTTATTGTTTTGAGCCCTCTTCTCTCATGTCCATGGTACGGAACGAGAAGAAGGGAACGGTATCAGGTCATAGCTTTCACTCGTATGCTTCCTGAAAACTATTTGAAACCAAGAAGTCAATGTGAGAATGGAGTGGTCCAAGACGACGGAAGAGTTGGAATCCGAGGGACCCAGGCTGGCTTCAATATGCTGCGATCCGCAAGAAGACGCGCTTCGACATTTTATTGCAATGGCATCACATCAGTTGACGGAGGGTTAAGTCAGGGACACGTAACCAAGTGTGGATCGGGCCATGTATGGACTGCCATGCGTGCGAGAGGCAGTGAATGACGTCTGCGTAGTTTTTCGCAAATTCCCATGGAAGCGGTCGGCAAATGCGCGGAAAGCAACCTCAAGTTCTTGGTTCGCAGTTTAGAACTAGCCGAATTGCTAGAGGCCATAGACTCTGCACTGTGGTAACTTTTACTCCATACAAAGAGAAGGGCAAGAAGCGAGCCAAACCACAGAGGGTGGCATTTCGACCATAATTGAAACAGCTTGTTTTGGTAGGCGCACTGAAGACAATTCCATCCGAGGACCCAGCTGCTGTGATGGAATGTAGGTAAATGTGGGTCAAGAGTCCAATATTGTGTTGATGCTCGCGCACGCGAGCTAATAGGGTAGGCCCATTAGTTCCGAGAAGCGAGGTTCCAGGCAGCTGGCAATTTCTTTGGAGACTGTCTACTCCATCACCAGATAATGTTACAGAGCTCACATTGCCAAGCGCCTCTTGCCACCTGGCGCTTAGCTTTTCAATTTGGGCAACACCAATACCTTTGCTTCCGTTGCTTCTCCAAACGCGCAGTCTTAACTCCATGAGCGGTACATACGACCCTCTTAACCCTGCATCACCATCCCCCTTCGCATCCTCGTCATCATTAGAGCCTCCTCCATGGCCAACAACGCCTCACTTTCATCAAAGAGATTCCCCGACGTTTCCAAGACCAGCAACCCCTTCGCCACCTTCTCACAATGACTCTGATGCTAACACTAAAGAGCCGCAAATATATGGCCAGCCAGAGCGAGGACTCATCTCTCCAAAAGCAAACAAGTTGTCGAATGGGGGTACCCTCGAGAAAACGGATCCATATCTCCGCATTCGTATCACTGGTCTAGACCGAAATCGAAGGGACATTCTCATAAGATTCGATGCGCAGGTAAGCGGAGTACTGCATCAGGAGAAGGAGAATGGCCCCTAAGTCCCCTGAATGCCATGTTGCGCTTGTAGACAAACTTAAGAAACTTCAGTGGCACAACTTTCCGAAATATATCGCGCTCGTACGTGGAATTTCAGAAGCTGGCAGAACAGCTTGTATTCTGCAACCCTCAAACAATTGTTCCCGCACTCCCTCTTCCACAAACATCTGCTCCGTCCGATGAAGAAGGTTTGGTCCCTCGCCATTGCTTGGATTCTGTCAAGCGATGACGTGTTGTGATTGTAGACGACCGGCTCGTGAAGGTTATGCTGCAACGATGGCTTACTCGGGTTTGTGACGACCCAGTCCTGATTAGTGATGAGGACGTTCGCTCGTTTGTTGAAAGTGATTTCGGGGTGGGTTTTTCAGTGTTACAGCCAGTGAAATATTATTGATATCGCCGATCTGGTCAGTATCAACCCACCGTACGACCGAGACGAAAGACCACCTCTTCCTTTAGTCTTCTGAAACGCAGTGTGCCGGACGAAGACGAGGAACTGCTTACTGCCCGATTTGAGCTCGTGCGACTGGAAACTCAATTCATTGAGGCTGCAAAAGCTGTTGACAAATTAGCCCGTGCTAGGAAAGCACTCGCTCAAGCTCATACCGAATTGGGCAGCAAGTTCATAGGCGTTGCCACGGCAGAAACCCATCCGCAATTAGCGGCTGGGATGCGGAAACTCGGACGAGCATTGCATGTGCTAGGTGATAACGAGAGCGCCGAGGTAGGAGCTTACGTTTAGTGGTAGGCACTTGAGCCTCAGCCATTTCTTGCGACTCAGGGAACAAGCGAGACAGTAATACTGGGGGATTCGCTTGGTTACCAAGGAATGAATGCCAAGTCAGCCAAGGTATTCACAGAGTTATGAGCCTCAGCGAAGAAGCGTCTAACGGGCAATATTTGAATCAAGGAAACTCTTCAACAACGCAGTATGGCACTTGAGGAGCATCAGACGGCCGTGAAGACTGCCATAAGCAAACGGCGACAAATTGAGCGATTGAAAGCGAGTACAAATATTCGACCGGAAAGGGTTGACGAAGCTGTTGAGGAACTCAAAGAGGTTTGTCGTGTCTGTTTGTCCATGATTTCAGATTTTCAATGCCCAGAATAGGCATCTCAAATCGAGGAGATCCTCACGAAGCGTGTGCAAGGGATCTCTGAGAATCTCCACAAAGCTCTAATCACACATTCCCGTCACACCCATGAAGATGTAACCGCTAGTCTCATTGAGCACGCCCGGACAACCTTGATGTACGAACGCATCGCTCGAAAAGAATTTGATGCAGTCAGAAACGAAGTAAAGATGGTGAATCAACCTCGCTCCGCCTTGCCATCCGGTCCTGCACCTCGACAAAGCCCAATTTCACCTCACCCAACAGCTCTACCACGGTCACCGGCTTTGCGACACTCGCAGTCTGAAGCATCCGTTACAACCATCGATTCTCGCGTTCAGCGAGACGGTCCGTACGAAAAGGGTCAATTGTCAGGCCCACCAGCGTCGGCACCACCGGGATCGCTTCCGGCTAGTCCAACAAAAGGTTACAAGTCTGTCATTATCTCGCCCTCCCGGCCTAATGACTCCCCTGTTGATCCTCTGTTGGGCACCCCGGCACAAAGCCCAATAACACCGAGTACTCCAGGAGGACGGGCTAATATGACGCGTTCGATGTTCATTCAGCCTCAGCGCGGCCGTATCGACGAGCGAGAGGCGGCGCGCAAACTCGCGAATTTTTTGTAAATATTTGTGTATTGAGCTCTTACATTCGCAGAAGATAGAGAATAGCAGCTTCATGCCATTGTTATTAATTTAGTGTGTATGACGGTAGTCTACGGGAGGTTCTATGGGAGGCTGAATTGGATATGTTCATAAGCATGGATTCCCTCGAGAGGCTGGAAGGGGACTTACCGGAAGGTTACGTTCCCTGAAGTAGGCGTTCAAGGTGGAGGAGGGCGAATGGTCGAAATGTCAATGATCATCTATATCATGCGAACGTGCATTAACTTACCACTTCGATCCTCCAGGAAAGGAAGGGGCTATAGTCATGCAAACACCAGATGTTAACTTCATGCCAAGTTAGTACATCAAGAACGAAAACTGACGAATATATGGATCCGGGTGCAACGTCGCTTCTAGCTGAGCCTCTCCTCGTGCGAGCAAGTCGGCAATGGCTCGTGGATCAGTCACATTCCTGCATACGTTCGTGGGCATCAACGACTGGAACGGATCACCTAGGGCAGCTTCCCGTATAATAAAAAAAGCCCACCGATTGCGCTCGAATTCGGAACGGATTTCTAAAGCCTGCTGTCTCCAAATGTCCCTCCGAATAGTCCAATCAAGGGAGTTCTTCAATAAGCGCCTGTATAATGACTTGACATGGAACCTGTGCGCAGCGGTGAACGGTGTTGTTGACATGGTCGTCGATGTCTGGGAAATGTTTGGCTGCTGATGTAACCAAGGCACGTGCGCAGCTCTCCCGATCCGGGTTTTTGTATGTATCTGTAGAAGCAGTTTATTTTGACGGCTCTGTGTACAACTTTGAAGTGTCTAGGGGGCCGCGTGGATCATGTAGTGTCAAGGCCAGAAACACGTTCGCCCCCAATTCGCGCCACTTGTGTGTGCTGAGAAGAACACCTATTCGCTTCGCTGCAGCCTCCACCGCTCCGAGAGGAGCAGTATACGCTGAGCGATAAATTTCATCTAAGCTCTACCCCTCGGGGCACACCTCTCACCATGCCCATTGCGGACCGGGATTCCGTATTGGTGTGTACTCTCTCATCAAGCCTGCTGACCGCACCTTATTCAGCTTATATTCCATGACCTCCTTTGCCTTCTCCTTCAGTGGTTTGCCTTCGCGTAAAATCACCCTGAGTCGTGATTTGGGATGTTCTTTGATACCTGACCGCCCCCGCCCTTTGATGTCTATCCGTTTCAATTTTGGGCCTTTCTCAACCCAGGCTTCCGCTGTTTTTGTGACGCAAAATGAGGAAACACTATTATACCAGGAAGGGGGTGGGTACGCGCCTACAATCAACTTTGAGCGGTTTAACCCTTTTAAAAACTGTGCATGGTCACGAGCGACACAAAGCATGTTTTTAATTCGTGTGCTTGCACGTTTCTCGCTGAATTCCATTTGAAGGATGGCTGCGTCGATCGGTTTCCCTGCAATCTGACGACCAAGATCATTAAGTTTCCGATGAGACATTTTGAAGGACGCCGTCGAGTATTTATGCTATGAGATGGTCGTCAGTAAAACCTGATTCGCAGAAATGTCGCGAGAGGGAAAAAATGACATGCCTCAGTGTACAGTTTCCCAGTTTTGGGATTGATCTTTGGGCCTGCCAATGCTTTTGCTCTGTTGACCTCCTGCACGAAATCGTCGTCGAGAGAATCGAACAAGTTATCATCGCCCCGCTTTTTCTGTGCTAATTTTGCCTTCTCAGTCTCTTCTTTCGTTTCTTTTGGCCGTTCCTTGGTCGCCGTGAGGTCTTGAATGGTGTCGTACACTGATTGCCCAAGACCAAAACCAATAGACCTTTGTGTGCACAACAACAACACGATTTAGCTCCTTCAGAGAAGTAGAACATATAATGTCGTTTTCACCTCGAAGTTGAAGGCGTCTGAGGTGGACGGAAGGGCTCAATGCTCAACCGTGGTCGCGCCAATAAGCATGAAGACGACTGTAGCACTCTGGTACACAGGATGATTTGAGCTGAGGATGATAGCCATCACTATCGTAAGGGGAGTCTTTAGGGTCGAAATGATAGACGTACTCTTACCCGTTAGTCGCTGCATGAAGGGTAAGGTTGAAGTGTGGAAAGTAGCCCGACTGAGCAAAGGTTCTCACGGGATAACTTCTTTCCAGCTTCCGCGTCCCATCATCGCATTTCGCTGTACCGCACCATGCCAGTCCCGTGGGAGGCACTCATTCCGTTTGGTAAGAATGCTTCTTAATCTTCAGCAGACCAGGCTCAACCCTCGGCGGGTTGACCAATGTTTGACGCTCTTTTGCTCGCACACTGGACTTTAAAGGTCTGTTGACGGGGATGTTCGCTGCGACCGGAACACTCTTTAGTGTCGTTAGGAGGGGCCAGAATGACGGGAAGGCATGTCTCATTACTTCTCTGATAAGTCCATGACATAATGAGTAATTCTTTTTAATTCGTATCAGCCCCCTCGTTACAACCTGGAATCATGGGACGAGATGATGATGGATCGTGATAAGAGATTAACAGGGAGTCGAAGAGGGCAGTCTGTGAGTATCGGTTGCTTTTTTTTTCGGGCCTTAAAATCTGAAGCTGGAGAACTCGTGATGTAGGACAACCATGTTGCGCCAGAGAGCTTCAAAACGAACAGTATCTGGCCTGCTAAACAAGTCCAATCGGCATTGTAATTCGATATTATATTTTTACTGCCCAACACGAACGTTTGCGATTTACTGGTCATTTGCACAATACCCGACACGCGTCCGGGGTGGGGTGCTCTATAGGGTGATATTCTCGTTTCCGGCTGTTTTCGACTGCGAGCCTCGACCCGAATCTTCCTCTTCATCTTCCAGGAGTGCCTCTGTGACATCGATATCTAAGAGGGACATATTTGTTGAGCGGGGAATGAATGGCACGAGCTCGAAGTCTGTCACGAAGCACAAAGGCGAACCTGATTCATCCTTATACCGCACATATAATACTTCCCAGTTTGAAAGCCCCAACTGCTTCACTGTTTTATCGTCTTCTAATGGAACGTATCGCACGGTAGGTGGCACGCCTCGCGGACCCGGTTGAACTTCTTTCCGATGGAGCTCGAAGTCATCAATGGATGTAATCGAGGGAAGATTATCCTCCAGAGTACTGAACTGAGATAAAGCTGAGAGTGTCTCGTGCTTGAGATCTTGTAAGGTTGACGCAAGGGATGCCGTGAAATGAACCGATGTGCGACGCGTCTTGATGGCGACCTGAATGGCGCTTGGGGATACCTATACCGCGTCTCATAAGCCCGTCTTCAAACGATGCCGTACTTCTGCGAATCCAGGTACCATATTTCTATTCTGACACGATGCAAATTCCTGTGCAACTTAGGGTTCACCTCGGGAGCGAGTGTGGCGCCAGTTACCGACTCGCGGGAACTTCTTCAGCAACCAGCGAAATTCACACTTGCAAGTTCAATTCTTCTCGCGAAAGAGGCCGTCACGTATCCCAACTCTCGCACTACTCGCCGGCGCTAGGCCGCCCCTGGAATTGCTGCACGGAAAGTTAAATCCTAAATCCGTAGCCTCACACACCGTCAAAGATCTCATTGCTTCCATGGTCACCTGGAGTCAGAGGTGAGTCTGGTTGTTTCTGTCAAACATCAGCGTGGTTTGTGTCCTTAGTGTTCGCAAACGAGACCCAAGGCCTCATTGGTGCCAAATGAATGTATTCTTTCTCAGGATTCCGACTTGGGATAAAGCAACGTTAGTACATCACATCTTTTGACGCGCTGGATACCAAGAACTCATGAAATATTACGAATAGCAGTTCTAGCGATGACAATGTTACAGTATTTCGAACGTCGCTATGTACAACCACAATCAAGTATCACAATTCCAGATTCAATACTCTGTAAATTGGAAGACAGTTAAGAAATTATGGACATACATTTGAGGCACTAAACGACTTGGCTGATATCAATGACTAACGGAGCTCTCAGTTTTCCCTGGAGCAGAAATCGGGTTCCATCCTTGCTGGCGCGAGGAAGGTAAAATGGAAGAGATGTCTTCCAATCCCAGAACACATGATCCCCATACCAGGGTTCGTTCTTGCTGGAGGGATGTGGGTCTTCAAAGACTGGGCCGTACTTGGGGTGGACAATGAGTTCGACTTCTCCATCAAACGAGACCTGGGCACCATAGGTACCGAGGCCGCCACTAATAATTAATGGTGCCTCCCCTATCACTGGGGAGAAGAGCATAGCGTCCTCTTTTTCCCCGAAGTTTTCCCCCATGTTTGGCGAGAGGTCATAAAAGGGGCACTTCAGCCAGGATTCATCGGCGTTATGTCTGGGATCTGGCTCGGAACCTTGTACATGAGTTGCCGGAATCGAATGAACGACATGGTCATCAAGTACAGGCGTAGGAATGAGATATGAGAGAGGAGGTACACGGCCGGTATTGAACACCCAAAATCTGAAATCTTGCACACGATATTGAGCGATCACCTCATATGTATCCATTGACCAGACGAAAGCGCAGTTCATGTCGAAAGCGCCTGCATATCGGCCTCCAGGAGAGAATCCAGCTGTGTGACGTGGAGGAGAGGATAACTGGTAATCGGGTTGAGGAGACTGAGGATCGGAAGCGGCAGGAGATGCAAGAAGCCGAGTAGATGGCTCTCCTGAAAAATATAAGAGTGCCACGTTTCCGTACCAATTCTCATCTTGATTTCGAGGGACTCGCATGATAAAACATCCGTTGCTTGACAATGCAGTTATAGCACGGTGACGACTTATAGGAAGGGCCCCAAGAGACACCAAACACGTGTCATGACTCAGAATGGAGATGTTTCCATCAGTGTCCTCGGTGGCAATCTGAACATTGCCTCCACAAATAAACTCTATCCAAACTGGGGGCTTGGGAGGATTGCATTGGAAGCGAGAGATTGTACGCTGATGGTCGATGTCCGCAACTTCAATACCCCCACTTCCAAAACCAAGGGCGACATGAGAACCATCTTGAGATATCGCCGCACAGGTCACAACCCCGTTGTGAACATCAGGTTTAGCGAACTCGGCTTCGAAATTAGTTTCTTCGTTGCCATATTTACCAAACTTCTTAGGCAGCTCGGTCAGCTTTGCTTCCATGGCCTCCTTAGCCCTATGTGCATCCTTGCTCAATGGGATCAAGCCACCAGAAAACTCGCCAGATACGCTGAAGATTCGAACAGGGTCGGAGAGATCCCCATACACTTGATGGAGATGTGATGATGATGGAGTGAATGGAAGGCCTGATCGATAAAGATCCCAAGGATCAAGACGGTACTCAATCAATCCGCAAGCTTCGTTTAGCAGCTTAATCCATTTGTGGTTCTATGAAGCGATGTCTTATTATTCAAATACACGGAGTACAATTGAGGTAAGAACTCACGGTGACTTCATCCAAATCACACCATCTTTTCCAGAGCGTCTCGTGTTTTTGCCACCAAGCCCGAGAAGCAATCAAGAACGAGAATAAGTTTTTCATCAGGAGTCGTTCAAACTCTCCTTGCAATTCATTAGGCCCTTCAGAAAAGAGTAGTGCAGGATTCAAGTGGGAAAACAACCACTCGAATGAATACATGACGCAGTCGGGTTGCCCTTTCATCAAAAAAGTATCCCACTTCTTTTTATCTCCCAAAGGGAGTTCGGTGGGCAACCCAATTTCGTTCCTTTGAATAGCATTATTCACATATCGAAGGAGTGGTAATCCGAGGAGGTATCCTTTCGGATCATTGATAAAGAAGACCTTGTCTTCGTCATCGCCGATGGGTGCTCCAGTGATGAATTCCTTCGCTGTTGCATGATAAAATTTGACTTTTGCATTGTTTGAAGGGACGTCAATTATCGAGCTGATGGGATTCAGTATCCCATGGATTTTTCCCTTGGCAATTCCTAGGAGATGTGACATGCTGTGAACACTGAGCGGTGCACGTGCAGCAACGACCATCCCGACTACTTCGCGATAATTCTTCTCAATGTGTGGACGGATTCTCGAGAGATGGGGCCTAAAGGCTCGTCGCATTATTCGTAAGTACTCCTCATTGAGATCCTTAGGTGCAGCTTGGAGATTGAGAAAGTATTCAAACTCCGATTCAAGGTCGGAACCACTTTGAGTCTGAAACCGAACTTCACGTATTCGGATCGAGGCCATAACAGGCAAACCACGGCAAGCTGAAGTGAAGGCATCGAGACCATTCGTTGATGGTTCCCACTGAGATTCTCTCATGCAGCCCTTGAGCCCATCCTTTACCATCTGCCGGATTGTGTCGAATGTCTCATCTGAGTCAACCTCATCCACATTTTCACATGGGATGATACAGCTCTGATTTCCCCAAACGGAAATAACTTGGCGTTCAGGACGACAACTGACCAGTATGGAAAAAGCTGAAGGCAGCTCATCAAGAAGAAGCACGAGGTTCATCAGAGACTCGAGTGCCTCTGAACCTCCACATTCATCCAAACCATCCAAGATGATGGCGAACTCGCGTTCCTTGCTTGCAGAAAATAAGCCCCTGAGACCATTCATCGGTTCGAGAACCAAAGTCCGCATTTGGCTCTCCAGAGGAAGGCTCAGAATCAACTCTGAATTCGGCTGCCGAAGGCGTTTGATGAGCGAGACTTGGAAGTCCGCATTGAAAACCGCAAGTTGACGTGCTAGGGTAGAAGGAAACTTCTCTAAAGAATCGAGGCCCGTTCCCTGTTGGTTTTTATCCCAAAAGAAAGAGGCTGCAAGGGTGCCTTCCTTTTCGAGCGTAGATGCGATGCTCATAGATATCGCTGTTTTCCCCGTGCCAGGGGACCCACGGAGCCAAACGAATCGATTCTCGGCTAGTTTTAGATGATTGAGAAGGGAATTCTGTATCTTGACCCGTGTGCTTGGAAGGCATTTTGACTTGCTCTTCACGTAAGTGTGCTCGGCTGCGACTCGTGGAAGTCGCTCAAGTTTCGCTGAAAGATGTAGCGTCAATCAAACAGACCCGTGAAACGAGTGAGGTGAACATACATTGCAACGATGCCTCGATTATACGGGGGAGCATTGAAATAGTTGCCTGAGTCTATGGTGCATACACACCGGTCAGTCAAATCGAGCACTTGGGGGCGTAGCGGAAACGAACCGAAACCGAGTTGAGGGCATTATTTATGCACGTCCTCACACCGCTTATCCTCTTCGCAATATCAGTCGCTAAGATCGCTCTCTTTGCAAGACGTTGACTTTTGAGCCATTCAATCTCATTGATCTGCTCTTCTAGGGCCCTGTCAACAGGAGCCTCGAGTCAGACGAGCAGCGTTGAAGGCAGATTGACGTACGAGTGAAATTCTCCAATCAACCGAACTACTTCAGGGGGGATTTGTTCAGACAACAGCTCGAGCGGCTGCAAAACGGTGGCGTAAGCCTTTCGGATGTCATTGCCCAGTTCCTTAAGATCATCGTCGTTTCCGCCAATGGTCTACACAGATCATCCACAAACAAACGAATGAACATGGGAAGAGTAAACGGCGTATCCTCATCTATCACAGAAATGAAGGGATAAACTGACATCGTAAACCTGGAGCCACTTGAGAAGTAAATTCGGGATTGCGTCGGGATTTGGAATCGGGACGAATTTAAGAGCGTCGGCTGCATTTTCCAGAACGAGTCTTATAGCATTTATGACGACTTTCTTTCGATCGCTCTTTGAGGTAGCCGATGGCGTGAGTTCCGATAAGGAAGGCACGTTGATACCCTCGCGTTCCAATTGTGCGCGAATTTTCGAGCCATTGTCGGGCGTGGCACGCATCCCGGATGATTCGCTTGGATCATCGATATTCCCGGTAGGAGTGAGGGGAGATGGAGGCGGCGCTGCATTATTAGCATATGGCTGTGGGGTGGGCGTGGTTGGTCTTGACTGCTTGGGAGTCCCAGGCTTGCTGCGATTACGACCAAATATTTCGCTGATCTCACTCGATATGCGGCCCATGAATGATGCTGACTTCATTGGATCATTGCGATCACCAGAAGGTACTGTCGGCCCTCCGAGCTGACCGCAGTGGGTCTTGTCGTGATCCGGGGATATCTGGGGGCCGGTGATATGGAACTGCGGAACATGGGACTCCGAAGGGGCCTGTGGGTGCGATAGCTGCGAAGATGAGCCAGGAGCAGGACGGTTTCCTTTGTTGTGTCGAGAGAACATTTTGAACCTATGTTTTGTAGAGATCGCGCTGGTGTGATAACGGGAAAGGCTGCCTACGTGGAAGGGTGAACAGAGGACAGTTCAATCGCTGCATGCACATGATGCATATAATAGAAGGAAGTTGGACGCCGAGGATTGAATCAATTGGTTGCACAGAACCCAATAAAGCAAGTACTATCAAGCTTACTTTGTTTGGGAATTGCAATGTTGCAACGTCCGAAACCTGTTCGCTTGACATCCGTAGCTTGCGCTCTTCAAAAATCCCCAGAGAAAAAGGCGCAGTTGAGCGGAAAACGAAGTGCCGTCTACATTTCCGGAGTTAATGCATATCATTAGGGGATGAGGGTGCAATGGTTACCTGTACCTCGGTTGAGACATCTTAGAGGCAGCCCAAAGTGGAAGTTAAATAGCACCTACATGAACCCGCTAGTAGATTAGTGTGGTTGGCCTCTGGTGGCATCGTCGAGGCGAGCGGAAGTAAAATAGCGACGACATACAGGCCGTGTGCTTGAGTGGACATGTGCACCCACCAGGCGTGCCTGCATCCTGACACTTAATTCTCAATGCGCTTCTTTCGGACTGAGTACAGAAAAATACCACAGGGGTGGGTAAACTCGTCCGATAGCCGCGGTGCAAGAATCTTGTTACATGCCAGGGTAATTGGTAACCAGGGTCGGGAGAAAGCATTCTCGTAAACGTCATCGAGGTTCTAGCTGAGGAGCAAACAAATTGTGTCACGACACCAGTAGCCCAACCCTCTAACCACAGAGGCAATGGTCGCAAGACCGCAGGAAGGTATGGTTCCTGAGCGAGGTGCACGAAGCCCTGTATAACCTCGATAGTTGCGTCTCAAGGCATTGTTGTGTCGACAAAGTTGATGCTGTGGTCAAGCGGATGAAGCTAACGTCCTTATGGCCTCAAACGTTGCAAACTGGGGCCCGCAGCAAGAGCACGCCACCGATTCCAGCATCACGGAATGACTGTCAACAGAGTTCAGAAATCGTTGAGATTGAGGAAGGTGTCTCGTTTATTATCAGAGGTTCAAATATGGAGAGCGACACCTTCTCACACTCCGACCGTGCCGAAATCAATGGTAACGTTACCGGTCGGGATTGCGTTGACCTTGCAGAATCACATAGGCTCAATTCCTATCTCAGTATGGATAACGTGACTGCGAAGTGCTTTGTCGGAAAACTGGTCCTTGTGGGACTGGGCAACTCAGGTTGTGTCCGTGTACCGCTTATGTAATCAGATTCGGCCAAAACATGGCCTCGCAAATGTTCCATCGATAACTCATGAAACTGTATTCCATGTCCCAACAAAAATCTAGAGAGTGTGAATATACAATGTAAAGTATGTACTGAGCACTCGATCGGAAAAATCGATGCATTATAAAATGAGTATGTAAACAGACCAGTTATGGTACCTCAGATCGCAGATCCTGGCGACTCTGCAGATTGTGCATTATAGTGTTTTATAATATTTTGGAGTAGTGCCTTCCGGGGCCCAACTCGTAGCTTATTGACTGCTGTTCAATTAGGAATAAAGGTGTCTTTAGGGGCCAGCCAACGGTGCTTGTTGATCTGTTCAATTAGCTTGTCCCCCGTCATTGCAGCAATCACTGTAGCATCCAACTGGAGTAAAGTACTCCCTAGTTTCTCCTCCTCCACTCTCTTCTTCTCATCTCGTGCCTTTTGGGCTTCACGGCTGGCAGCGGCTTTTGCTTCCTCAGCCTTGTTCAACTTTGTCCATAGTTTCCTCTCAAGATTCTGTGTGTCTCGATGCCGAGCTTCCTTCCTGAGGAATGCATGATGGGCTTCACTGAAATTTTCCCTTATGAAGCCCTCAGTGTTGTTACGGCTATACATCACCAATGAATTAAATCGATGCTGGCTTAGCGATGGAAACCGCCTTGCCCAAACCCTCCATGTCCCTAGCATCCCTTCATTCACATCATTTGTTGTTGGCATGAATGCTGATGCCTTCTCTGCTGGAGTTAGAGAGGCAATGACTCCGTCACTAGAGAATTCAAAAACAAAACTTTCCCACTTCTGCGCAGCACCTCGACAGAATTCTATGAGCATTTCATGGAGAAATGGGAGTGCTCCTCTTGCCTGCTCCCGCTTGAGAGCTTCAAACACTTTTGGCTCGTGCCATGTTCCTCCTGTCAAGTGGCCCAAAGTGCCGTGCTTTTCTGTATCCAGAAGTAAGTTGGAATCTAGTGCAAGGTCCGCGATATGCTGCTTGACCTGATCATGGAATGGACCCATATCTAGCATATTTTGAGATAGAAAGTCTCCTGCTCGCATTTTCTCCAAGTAAGGTATAGAGACCGCCAGGCCAAAGAGAGCCAGGACAGCAAGCTCAGTCACCGTTGGTGTGTCCTGAAGGCCTTTATAACAATTTTCCTCCATATGAGTAAACCCCGGCTGATTCTTCCTATCACGCCAGCTTTCCAGGAACTCAAGATATTCGTCGCGGAAAACGAATAGCTCAATTGCCGCATATAGATGTGAAGCAAAGCGGGTATTACTCGTATCGCCAAAGCGACGAGTTCTCCCATGCTTCTCATGGAACCAATGATAGTGTGCGTCCTGACATCCTTTTTTATCATCTTTGTTGTTGAATAATGAGCCACAGAGCGATGTAAGCTTGACTGCTCCGGCATCTAGTGTAGGCTCATCAGGCTTTTCGGAGTTTGTCGGGCTTGACTTAGCAAGTGCAGCCTTGGCTAGACTATGGAGGGGTATTGGCCCTGGTGTCTCCACAGTTTTCAGGTGGTTCCACGCCTCAGACATAGCTTTGGCCCCGGCTTTGACGGTATTAAGGTCCTTGTGCATAGCGCATCCACACCATACAATAGTGTCAACTTGACATTTTAAGTCATGGGGAAGTTGTTGATAGATGGTTTCGCCAAGCTCACAGAGTCTTTGAAGGGTACGAGTTCGAAATTGTGCCGTCTGCTCATTGTTGGTGAGATCCAACCAAGCTTCGGCACTCTCGGATTTAGCGATGAGACTTTTCATGGTGTTATGATTAAATTCCTGGCGAGCTTCATCAGACATTGTCTCACAATGCTGTACACCAAGGTGAAGCATCCATTCTTCGCGCCTCCAGTCTGATATTAGCCGAAATAGCTTCTTCTGATCTTCGGCATGATCAGAATTCATCCCAGTTAGTTTCCGAATTGCATTCCCAATGCCTAAACCCGGGTTGAAGTCGGTAAGCTCTGGACTTTTGTATGCAGTTTCGAAGAACTCGCTCATCGACCCTTTAATGTTCTGCAACTGATCAACACTGGAATGCGATGGCATAGCACGGACACCCCATGTCCGGACCTGCATCGCTTTCTTGGGTCCATTGTCTGAGTATGTAGGAAACAGCGCAAGACTATGGACTGCCTCATAGGTGATATGGTGATGTGTTGTTCCATCGCAGCTCACTGTGTGTGCTGAAGTTTTGATTAGTGTGAAGTTATTCAGGAGTAAGGCATCATAGACTTACTATCTATGTTCTGAAGCTCGGTTGCCATCTGGATCTCGGCTGCTATTCCTGCCTCGGTGACGGCACGCGATACCATCCTGCGACTTGGCCCCTTGCCAATGTCCACCTTAAATGCTTGTGCACAGGCAGAAAGAACATCCGCCACCTTTGATGCCGGTATACCACTTGAAACAAGCTTGCGGCTTAGTTCACGGATGGTGTTCGAAAAAACTCCCTTAGTTTTCAAAGAAAACTTCTGAGCCGCTTTTAAAGCAGCCTCATAGCGCGTTTTGGATGCTCTAGTGCTCAATTCCAGTCGTCGTCGAAGTCTAGTGACATTGGCACTTGCTTTTCTCCATCCAGTTTGAAATCTGGCGAGTCTTTTCTCCAGCGCGATGTTCCGAGCTTCTGGTAACTTCATAGTGGCATTTGCTTCTTTCAGCTGATTAGACCTTTCAAGAAGTAGATCTGTGGACTCTTTGAGCTTTTCAGCTGTCTTAGCTTTCGCATTTTCGGATCGAGTACAACGGCGCTTTAGATTTTGCATGGATTGTGCTTGTCTGGCAACTTGGGCCTTAGTTCGGCTGGCTCTTGTTTCTAGTTCAATGACTTTTCGCTTCAGTGCTCCGATCTTTCTGTTTGGATTGGCTGGGGTCTCTGGTATCTCGGACGCGTTGGATAGAACAGAATAGGAAGGTTGAGGGGCAGATGTAGATTGTGGGGAAATTTGATATAAGGCACCATCCCTGCTGGTCTGAGATTGCTCCGGAAGCATGGTTCCATAACCACGGATCCAGCGCATAGTACGGGCATGGTCAAATGCATTTTTTTGGGCAGTTGATTTTGATTGTTTTGTATGCATCGAATTTTCCGTAATATTGATCGCTGATGATGTAAAATGGTATAAGGAGTATGCTAGGAAGTCGTCTCAGTTGTTCCAAAGTCAGGAGAGCATTAGTTGAGCTGAGTGTGCCCCAGGCATCTCCAGAATGCGCTATTGAGTGCGACGATGTACACACAAATAAACAAATGATCACCCAACAACTTCAGGCTCATCACACAGCAGCTAAGCGCGTAGAAATTCTCCTGGACGTGTAGAGTAGCTATTTCTATAATTCGGACTGTTGGATTTTCGTAAAACGCGCCGGTTGTCGAGAACGGTTGTAGAGCCATGAGAACTCAATTTTTTTACAATTCCTCAGTCCAATTATCAGCCTTTACAATTCCAAGCAACTTTCAATTGAACTTTTTGTTGTATGAGACGTTTGTGATGAGTTATAAAACTATACTTCCACAGGCTGCTCTGCGGCCAGTCTAGCTTACATAAGCAGTCCCGTGGGCAAGCTTCGCTTGCCCACCCCCAGTCCTTGCGTTGCAACGCATCACGGATTTTAATAGGGGGGTTCATGAAGGCCCAACTGGACAGAACTCGGACAGAACTCGGGTTTCTCAACTCGGACGCAACTAAACAAAACTAAACAAAACAACAAGTTGTGCCGAGTTTTGAAGTTGAGGCTCGGATGGTCCAACTCGAACAAATCTCAAACATAACTCGGTCTTTAGAAATTCCTTAGCTCCGTCTACTTGCAAACCTGAATCATGTGAGAACGTGTGAGAACTGCACAGCGTGGTTTCCTTCATGGCTCGGACTGTGAAGCGCAAATCCGACATTGCTGACTCTACAGCTAATCTACCTCGTTCTAAATAAGTCCCTAGCCAGGACCCACTACCACTGAGCCTACTACCAGCACTCCCAAAATCGAGAATGAATCCTCCTGATGTGTACTTTGGCTCAGCAATCCGCGCTGGACCGACCATTTCTCATTGAGAACACCAACATCCACTTTGAGAATTCTACTGAAGATAGGAAGGCACATAACACCAGAATGCCCTTTTTTCTGGCTGACAAGAAAAGTATGTACAAGCAGTCAATCCACGCATGATTGACCAACAAAATCTCATTAAATCCCTGATTTCACTCTCCTAGATCGATGATGCAGAGATTGGGAGTGTGACGAGCTACCAAGTAACCAAACATGTATATTAGGATGTGTTGTACCATAAGACTGAGTGACTGGGGTCAAAAAAGTGCTCACCATAGTATCCTGGTTTTGATGCGAGTGGGATCCACCATACAGTCAGACTGCCAAACATGACATGATAAACTTTCCACTAAGCCTAGCTGACTGCATTTTGCGACCTCATTGGGTCAGAGAACACACGTGGGTCAGGAGTTTACAGACATGGTGCATAGCAGTGGAGGGAGCATCAACTCTAGCAAGTGTGGTATCTAATGAATCTGATTCTGGGGGTATGACATTGGCTGCGGGGGTGGAATTAGAGCTGCCGCTAGATGTGAAGGAACTAGTGCTGGAACTGGTTGAGGATAGCATTGGGCAATGATGGCAATGGTAATAGGAATTTTGGAGGGCACGGACATGCATCAATGTTGCCGCAATAACCTGTTGACTTGGGATGGTTGGAATTAACTGTACAGTTCTTACATAAGGAACTCAACTCAGGCAAGGCCATCGGACTTACAGCCGATTCCAAAAAAATCGGCCATTTTGATTTCATCGAAAGAGATCTAGGAGGGTTCTTCCTTCCTAAAAAAGTTGGCCAGATCACGCCCCACGAAAGGGGTTTCCTTACTTGGATGGATCCGCTTAGCGCTGGGGTCTTTGGTCTCACTGCATCCCCACTCTCGTGCGCGACACTATGGCAAGCTCGGGTTTCTGGACTCGCTCACATTATCCTCAAATTCAAGCCCTCCACACACACGCATGCGTCGCATCTTCCAGTGATGCATATCGATTCAGCCTCAGACGAAGGGTTTGACGAAGGATTGCGCGAAGTCAGTCAGGAAGAAAAGCCTGATGATGAGCTTGATTGGGACTTGTTTTGAGGACTTCTCACATGTATATACAAGTCCTTCCATGCTCTGAGCATAGCTTAGCCCTCATGTGCGATGAACAAAAAGTCTGGTGATGTTGATACACAAAATTTGGACTTGTTTTTGAGGGCATGAAGACTAGAATGTCTAGTGCACTCAAGATGTTTCCCCATGCTGATTAGAGGGGGAGAAACGGACACAAGTGTATGCAAACACAATGTTTTTTAGAGGGAGTTCCATGGTACCATTGGGTTTGCCGCCTTGCACTCAAAAGTTGCCGTTTCTGGCAGAGAATGAGTGCCCCTAGATCTCTTTCGATGAAATCAAAACGGCCGATTTTTTTGGAATCGGCTGTAAAGATACATCAGATTTGGGTTGTCTTCGTGAACACCCCATAACTACCCTGAAACTAACCCAAAACTGTCCAGACAGTTGAGGCGCAACTGCATCTGCACGTGATGGAGTTGTGTGCTAGTTTTGCATTAGTTTTGTCCTAGTTTTGCCTTTGTGAATCACCCTAATGATGCGTTACGAGGGTGTTACGGTTTTTTACGGGTCATAACAAGAGCGTTGTAACGGGTCTATCAATCTAGACTTGAGGCTCAGGTCTAGGGGGGGTAGGTCTCTCTCTATCACTCAGGTAGGTGTGTTGGTCCTGCGAGTACGGTGCTGATACTCTGTCTAACCTCTAACTAACTGTCTGTACAGTTGTCATGGAAGAGTCCGATACAAATATAAAAGGAAAGTCACATGCGTGAATGAATGAAAATAGTAAGGAAAATAAAGAAAAGGTCATATCTCCTCAACCACTCCACCAAATCCGACGATCTTGGACTCGTCAGAACCACCTCCACAGTATCTACAACTCCTACTATTACCACGACTCACGAATCCTAGTCCCTGATGCAGTAGGGGGTGAAATGCATGATAAGGGTTGGTTTGACCTGCACGGACTTGTCCCCACAACAGCATATGAGGGTGTTACGGTTTTTTACAGGGCATGACAAGTGATGGATTTTCATGATGTGTACGGCAGGTATGATGAGAGTGGTTTTTTTAAAAACAATGTTACTGGGGCGTTATGCCCTTTTTTTTCAACAACTTTCTGGAAGACTGGATTCTTTCAAAGGTTTTGTAAGCGGAAAAACATAAATAACATTGTTGAGTAAATAATGAAATGGGCGATGCTGATCTGTTATTGGGACTATAAATGCCTGTCTAACAAAATCTGCCACCTGGACAAAGAAGGTTTGTTGTGGCAGCTCAAGTTGTAGGAGCCTCAAGTCAGAATGATGAATGGAAGAGACATGTCATATCCGTGCATGACCAATCCTGACCTGACTCCCGGACCTCCTTCTTCGCCACCTCCGGAGTCCTGCCCTACTGCTGTCCGTTCCGATATTCACCTTCGGTCCTGACACCGCACCTCCTCTCACCCCTCATGCCACCTCCACTCCTCTGTCCTTCTCCTGTCCTATCTCCGTTCGCTCCGATACTCACCTCAGACCGAACACCACTCCTCTCCCCACCCTCCTCCTACTCCTCCTCCCACTCCTCCTCTTCCTCCTCACAACACCTCCACCCTTCCATCATTCTCCTACCCTTCGTCCATCCACTCCAATACTCACCTTCGGACCTGACACCTTTCCTCTCCTCCACTCCTCTCCCCTTTCCTCTTTCCTCTCTCTTCCCTCTGGCCCTCTTCTGCCGACCTTCTGCCGCTGTCCCATACCTTGTACTTGGACACTGCTCGTACCTTCGCTCCGAGACTCCATCATAGCTCCTACCTCGGACTTTGACTCCACCTCGGCTTTAGTCCATTGCATTGGTGACCTCATACTACGTAAACACCATTGCCAATATTCCTCAGACTTCCAACCCCGCCTCCATAAACTCCGTAAGCTCCGCAACCTCCAAGCTCCATGGATCATCTTTGGCACTTTCACCGCTTGTAATGTATCTTTCACGTTTCTCCCTCATCCCTATTTGGACTGCTGCTTCTTCCCATTCTAGCCAGTTAGTCATCATCCCCACTTCCCCTCATCCTCCTGCCCCTCTGGGCTTCGCCCTCCTTACCTCCTTTCGGATGTACCACAGGTTCTGCCCTATGACCTTCGGTACCGCTCCGCTTCTGTCATCCCTTTGTTCCTGTTCAGATGCCTTTGTTCCGATTCAGACCCCCTTTGTTTCCTTGTGCCTTCGCCCTCTCCATTATATATATCGGCACTTGTACATACTTGTTTTAGGCTTAGTCTAAAATCAACCTGAAATGCCCCCTAGAGACTTCCTGCTTGCTGCCTATGAAATTAAGGACCAAATGGACAAACAGCAATGGCACAGCGCTCCACTTGAGTCGCTGAGGCCAAGGTCCCTCTTGCTAAGTCTCTGGTTCCCCTCTGGAATTGTCTGCCCTCGCCTAGTTCTAACAAGACATACCCAATTAATATCAGATCCATCTAAACTTCGGAGCTAGGGCCAGGTGAGTTTTCGTACAGCCACAGTCCCATGGCCGGGTGAGGAACTTGCCCGGACAGCCACCAACAATTGAGTTGTTCATACCTGATTTAGTAACTGGTGCCAACAACGCATCCACCAGATCTTTTTGTGAACATCTAGACAACAAATGCAAGTAGTTCTACAACTATCACTGCTCACAGCCATGCTCTCTGGTACCCTTGCCTTTCCCCTTCCACTGTCCCAACCTGTCACCTCATGCACCTCACACACCTTGTGCACCTCGCACAACTCGTGCACCTCATGCACCTCATTGTGCACCTCGCACACCTCGCACACCTCACACACCTCGCACACCTCAACCCCAGCTCATAATTTCTCTTGTGGGAGTGGGGAGTTCTTCAGCTACTTGATGCTTACCAGCTAGAGCCTTCTGGTTTTGTGCTTGGCACTGTGTGCATCTTTGATTAATCTCTTGAACTTCTGAAGGATCGGATTCCACCTTTCTCTTCACACAAGGCCTAAGTGCTGGGGAATCCCTAGGCACAGAACAATCTCTGACACTCAATCTTGAATTTTCTGTCACAGACTGTTCCGAGAGCTCACTCTCCGAGTCCCACACTGCAGCAGCATTGCTGGTGTTCACGTTGAGAGCCCCACACCCATCATTTCCCCTGGTGGAACTATCATCTTTCACATTATGGGTCTCCATGTTGTTGGGGGGTCAGTGACAGGATCACCATTGTCTTTGTCATTGGGCTCCGGTGTGCCCGGTTCATGAAGAGCAGTGTTTGAGATGCTTTGTTTCCACCATTGGCCTGATTGTCCTGAATATGGCAACATTGTAAGCTTGTAAGATACATCAAAAAATTACCCACTGGTACTGATGCACCAGCCAAATCACTGTCTATCATACGCTGTGCTTTTATGCTTGCTTCCAACTGCTTCTCGAAGTTGAATTCTTCTACACCAGTTTCATCGTTGCCCATGCTCTCAGAATCAGCTTGACCTGGCTTCATACTATTGCTGAATAAGAGGACATTGTGCCTTTCCATCATCTCATGGAAATATTGTTGCACTCCTGGAGGGTAGGAATCTTCATATGCTAGGGTTTTGATAAGAAGCTTGCACCTGTTGTGAAGCAACAACCTGTGACTCACCAGCAAGTGCACATGACCCGCATGTGACACATGGTCCTCGTGATCGCGAATGTATAGTTTCTCATTATTTGGGATTGTTTTCTTTTTTCCTCAGTTCTCGCTATGGAGACTGAGGTCAGTTTCCTCTTTGACATTCCTCATAACTTAGTAACTCATTCCAACCAGTAAATTATTATAGGTTAGAATGCTAATAATATCAGTTCTCACTACGAAGACTGAGTACATTATTATAGCCCTCCATTAGGTTATGAGCCCAGAAGCTCTATAATTTTATATTAAAAAGAACTCCCATCAACCCAGTAACAACCATGACAACCATTTCCCACAAAGTTGATACTAGAATCTTTGAAAATGACTGGCTATGAGCTGATGGCTCCAACTATGGGACTTGGAAATCAATGATCGAGTTAGTTCTCGAAAATCACCACCTACTGGAATATGTTGATGGCTCAATAACCAAACCCTCATCCTCTCCACCTGCATCTGCACCCACCACTACACCTGCTGCTACTGGCACAGGTTCAGGAAACACTCCTCCCACTACTCCTGCCCCACAACCTGCAACCACATTAACCCCACTCCAAATCTGGAAAGAAGGAAACTCAGCAGCATTACTGCAGCTTGTCATATCTGTTGATGAGGAAGTCAAACTCCTCATTAAGGGTATAAAAGAAGCTCCTACAGCCTGGACAGAAATCAAGAAGAAATTCGAAGGAAAAGGTGCGAAATCGGTCTTTTACCTTATGAAGAAACTCTTCCATACCGTCATGCTTCCTGAAAAGGACATCTATAGCCAGATTCAGGAGCTAAAAGAACTGTTCATTAAACTTGACTCACTTGGAACCACAATCAGTGAGGAAATTCAAACCATGGCAATACTCATGGCACTCCCTGAGGAGTGGGAAATGATCCAAGAGATTCTTTTGAACAAGGACAAACTTACCCTACAAGACACAATCGATGCCATACTCGTACATGAGAGCAAACTCAAGCATAAGCAGGAGACAGCTATGCTCATCTGAGTTGGAAAGAGGAACCCAAAAGGGAAAGCTTCTTCGGGTCAGTTGGGTCAAAAACCTAAGGAAGGGAGCAAATTAGTGTGTGGTAACTGCAAAAGTGGACAACCAAGGAGATTGGGGAAGAAACCGGGGAAGGGACAATCAGCGAGAATGGCTGAGATGGAAGATTCAGGAGAGAGTTACACGATATATATCACACAAGAAGCCCCCAAACCTGGAACTGCTCTTGTAGCCTCAAACTCACCCTCCCACACACACTTTGTTGTTGACTCCAGGGCATCATCACATATGGCCTCGGACCATGCAATCTTCTCATCATACCAGGAACTGACTCACCCAAAAAGGATACTGGTGGCAAACCAAAAACACATAAATGCAATTGGAATTGGTGACATTGAAATCCAAACCTTTATTGGAAATCAGTCTAGTCCTGGCAGATTCACCAAAGTCCTCCATGTACCTGACATTAGCGAAAATCTCTTATCCACCTGACAGCTGGCAAGTGTCGGGCTCCAAACAACCTTCTCCTCCAATTCCGCTGACATTGTGGATTCACGGTCTGGAAAGCTTGTCTCATGGGCTTACCTAAGTGGTAGCCTCTACAGGTCAAGATTGAGAATCCTCAAGTCGCGAGGTTTTGTCGAGTAGAGGAAACAAAAGGAGATGGATGCGCATTCACAGCCCAGGCCATGCTAACCTCAGAGGCCAGTCTAGCCCTATGGCATTGTAGACTTGGTCACATCACCAAAGAAACAATTCTAAAAATGGAAAAGCATGAGTCAGTAAGTGGCATGAAAATCACCGACAAGAAGAATGGCCGTTGCATACCTTGCCTGAAAGGAAAGCAAACTCGCGACCCAATTCCAAAATCCACTTCAAACCGCGCTACAGAACCACTAGGTCGAGTATTCACTGATCTATGTGGCCCCATCACTCTGGAAACCCGTGAGGGTTATCGCTACTTCATGACATTCACCGATGACCACAGTCGGTATACCCATGTTGCACTCGCGAAGACAAAAGACTCGGCATTCGACCTGTTCAAAGCATGGAAAGCTAAGGCTGAAAAGGAATCTGGCCACAAAGTCAAAATCATATGCTCAGATGGAGGTGGCGAATACACCTCAGCGGAATTCAAGGCCTGCCTAAAGTCTGAAGGAATCACGCACGAAATAACAAATGCATATACCCCACAAGAAAATGGAGTTGCCAAACATGTGAACCATACCCTAAATGACCATGCATGCTCAATGTTGGAAGACACGAAAGAAGTACTCAAGGTGAAACAACTTCCCCTGAGCTTTTGGGGTATCGTGATACGACATGCAGTCTGGATTAAGAACCAGGTATTGACCTGAGCCCTTGACCAGAATCAGACACCATTTGAAGTACATTTTGGGCGAAAACCCTCACTCCAACCTCTGTGACTTTTTGGGTGCATCGCTTATGCCCATGTCCCCCAGAAGTTCCAAACAAAACTTGGGGCAAGGACAGTTGAGTGCATCCATGTCGGGTTTGCTGAAGACCGGAAGGCATATTTGCTGTGGGATCGGGCCAAGAGATGAATGCTTGATTCGCATGATGTAGAATTTATTGAAGGGGATGATCAAGAGAGAATGAGAGTCGAAGTAGATGAGGGAGAAAGCGAAGAAGATGAAGGGGGAACTCCAAACAATCTCGAAAGTCAGAATGCCGGTTCAAGGGGGGACCAAAGCGGCAAAACAAAAGGAGAAGAGCAAAAATCACCTACCAATTCACTGCCTGTAAACCAACAATCTGACCCCATAACCCCACCTATTCAAACTTCCAACTTCCGCACACCACTCTGTCAGTCAAACCGAATAAATGCCGGAAAACGACCAATGAGGCCAGATGAGGACCCAAAGATGGAATTGGGATCCAAACACACCAAAGAAAACATGAAATTGTTGGAATATGGGATGGAGTAACCTCCCACCATCAGGGATGGAGTAACCTCCCTGGCATAACGGGCGAGTAGTGTATGGATGCACGCTAGAGGTCCTGGGTTCGATACCAGGCTTGTCCATTTTATGTCATTTGTCCAGTCACCTGGTTTACCTCAGTTGAATTCATGACATAAGTCTATAGCGCTAGCAGTGTTGAATTTCTTCAGAAATCACCAGATCCAGTGGGCGATCCTGAAAAGAGTACAAACTCAGTGGGCGAAAATAAAGAGAAAGAGGAAGCACTCAACTTTGCTATCCTCAGAGATGGCGATGAATTTGCCTATGCCACCACTGAATCACCCCGGAACTACTGTGATGCGATGACACGTATCGATGCTGATGGATGGACTGCTGCGATCACCGAAGAATATCAAAACTTGACCAAGCGAAAAGTTTTTGATGAAGTCGATGCACCCATAGGTGTGTGCATACATGATGGCCGTTTGGTATTTGCCAAAAAAACAAACTCTGAAGGCAAAGTCATAAAAAAGGTCAGACTCGTGGCGAAAGGGTATACAGAAGTGTTTGGAATCGACTATTTCCAAACTTGCTCACCAACCTTGGGCTGTGACACCCTCTTTGCTTGTCTTACCTATGCTGCTGGACACAACCTCGAGATCCATCAGCTTGACATGGTAGCTGCTTACCTAAACAGCGACCTCTGGGAGGAGATCTACATTAAACCTCCAGATGGTGTCCCAACAACCCCCGGAAAGGTCTGGCTACTAAAAAAGGTGCTGTATGGCTTGAAACAAGCTGGGCTGGAATGGTATCAGACACTCCAAGATCACCTAAAGTCGCTGGGATATCAGCAATCTGGCTATGACCCATGCCTGTACTATGCCGACCACTCACGCTTTGTCTTGGTCTATGTAGACGATTTACTCGTTGTCACCCCAAAAGCCCACCTAGACAAAACAAAAAAGGAAATCATGGGGAGATATGAGATGTGAGACCTAGGGGAAACTCACTGGTTTTTGGCTATGGAGATCACACACGACAGAGTGGCCAGAACGATCACCATAAGCCAGCGACAATACATTACCGACATCCTTACCAGGTTTAGACTGGAAAAAGCAAGAACCATGAGTACTCCCATGTCTGCAAGCTTAAAACTCGAAAAACTCGACTCACCCGAAGTTAACCAAACACTTTATCAATCTATGCTTGGCTCTCTAATGTACGCAGCAATCAGCACTCGCCCTGACATCTCATTTTCCGTCAGACTACTGTCCCAGCATGCTATCACCCCCAGAAATCAACACCTATCAGCCATCAAGCGGGTGTTTCGATATCTGAATGGGACGTGTGACCTAGCTCTGACATTCGATGGAAAATTATTAGGGGAGGGGCTGCACGGTTTTGCAGATGCCGATCGGGCCGGAGATCCTAGTACCAGGAGATCAGTATCTGGTTATTGTTTCATACTCGGCAGTGCTGCGATAGTGTGGTCATCAAAGAAACAACCCATGATAGCACTATCAAGCACCAAGGCCAAATATATGGCTGCGACACATGCAGGAAAGGAGGCCACTTACCTGGACCATCTGCTTGACAACTCCGGTATCCCCTCCAAGATCCCAATCAAGATATACATCGACAACCAATCAGCGCTCGCAATCGCCGAAAATCCAGTGTTCCATGCCAGGACAAAACACATTGATGTGCAGCATCATTGGATCTGCGAAAAAATCGAAAATGGCATCATAGAGCTTGAGTACATCCCTACAGCCAACCAGGTCGCTGATGTCTTCACCAAGGCCTTGCCCGAAGTCAAATTCGTCAGGTTCAGAGCTGAGTGTTAGAACTGGGTGAATTCAGACAACTCCGGAGTGGAATCGGAGACTTAGCGTGGAGGGACCTTGGCCTCAGCGACTCAAGCGGAGCGCTGTGCCATTGCTGTTTGTCCATTTGGTCCTTAATTTCACAGTAGGTGAGCAGGAAGTCTCTAGGGGGCATTTCAGGTCGATTTCGGACTGAGCCCAAAACAAGTATGTACAAGCACTGATATATATAATGGAGGGGGCAAAAGCACAAGGAGACAAAGGGGATCCAAATCGGAACGAAGATGTCCGAACGGGAACAAAGGGTAGACAGAAGCGGAGTGGTACTGAAGGTCATAAGACAGAACCTGTGATATGTCTGAAAGGAGATAGGGAGGGCAAGGCCCAGAGGGGCAGGAGGATGGTGAGAAGTGGGGATGATGACTAACTGGCTAGAATGGGAAGAAGCAGCAGTCCAAATAGGGATGAGGGGAAAACGCGAGAGATACATTACAAGTGGCGAAAGTGCCGAAGGTGATCCGCAGAGCTTGGAGGTCGCGGAGCTTACGGAGCTTATGGAGGCGGGGTTGAAAGTCCGAGGAATATTGGCAATGGTGTTTATGTAGTATGAGGTCACCAATGCAATGGACTAAGACCGAGGTGGAGTCAAAGTCCGAGGTAGGGACTATGACGGAGGCTAAGAGCAAAGGTATGATCAGTGCCCAAGTACGAAGTACGGGACAGCCGTGGAAGGTCGTAACTTGGCAGGAGGTCGGCGGGAGAGTACCAGAGGGGAGAGAGAGGAGAAAGGGAAGGAGTGGCGGAAAGGGGAGTTGTCAGGACCGAAGGTGAGTATCGGAGCGGACGGGAGGAGTAGGAGGTGGCATGGGAGGTAGAAGGAGGTGTGTTGCCAGGACCGAAGGTGAGTATCGGAACGGACAACAGTAGGGTAAGACTCCAGAGGTGGGGAAGGAGGAGGTCTGGAAGTCGGGTCGGGATTGGGTATGCACGGATATGACACTGAGTTGGGATTGGGATGAGACAATGGGTGTTGAGTGGGTGTGTTGTGAGGCAACAACCCATGACTCACCAGCAAGTGCACATGACCCACATGTGACACACAGTCCTCATGATCGCGAATGTATAGTTTCTTGTTATTTGGGATTGTTTTCTTTTTTCCTCAGTTCTCACTACAGAGACTGAGGTCAGTTTCCTCTTTGACATTCCTCATAACTTAGTAACTCATTCCAACCAGTACATTATTATAGCCCTCCATTAGCACCACCAGTGAAACTTGACTTCAACATCAGCACAATCTTCAGGAGGTAAGAGGACGCTCCAAATCTATTCAAGCTTAGTGGGCTACACATCATCACAGACAAAAACTACCTGCTCACCCCAATAGCAGCCAATGCTACCAGTTCCGGTGTAACTGCTGTAATTTTGTATTTTTTTTGCAGTGCAATTTGCTGCACTATGTTCCCATGCAGAGCTCCTGAGAGAAACAGGCACATCTTCTTCACAATTAAACAACAGCCCCTTGATCCAAATAACAGCACCCTCATCCCCTTCAGGTCAAGGACATCACCAGTGTGAATACTTTATTGATGGACATGGATATCTTACCTCAACAACATAAGGTGAGTCCATGAAGAACTTTGGGTCAGGCTCTCCAGAGGGAAATAGGATGGGGGGATTATCAGGATACTGCCCATTTGCGTTTTGATTGCCTCGCAATTCTTTTGCTCTATCACACTCCCAGAGTGTGTCATATCCATCCCCAGCCATCGACTTCCAGTTCCTCCGATCCCTCCGGTCTAACTCCGCTCCTCCCTCACTAACCTCGGAGCTCCCGTATTCCTCAATCCTCTTGGTACCCCTCGATGGTCACCACCCCCTCATTTCAATTTATTACCTACGCCTCCCTAAGTACGGAGCCCCGAAGACTTCCGGACAGCTCCAACGTCCGCTAGCGCACTCCCGCCTCCGCTGGGCAATACACTCGCCTGCCCTGCAGAGCCCACCTTCGGGCCTATCCCTCCTTTCCGTTTCTGGGTTATCGCCTGCCTTTCCGCTAACCCCGCGACCCAACTCGTCGGTAATATTCAGTCGGCTAATGTTTAAACCCCGTTAGCTCCGCTCCGTTCGGCTCCGCCAATTGCGGACCCGTCTTCGCTGTAACCATATATATATCCCACTTGTACATAGGTTACACCCCAGTAATAAAATCAACTAGAGTTACCCCCCCTTAGGTTCTGATTGCCAGTCAGTAAGTTAGGGCACGGATGTGTCACTAGGCACAGCGCTCTTGGCAGAAGTCGCTGAGGCCAAAGCCCTCCGCTATGGAGACACTCCCTCGTCTCGAATCTGGTCTCTGACAGAGTGGTCCCATTTGCTTATTCCAGAATGTAAAGACAGCTGACCAGGTTGAGTGATTTTCGAGAATCCAGTGCTTTAGTCGACATCATACTTCGCAAATGCTGTCATTGATCTATGTCCCAACCCAATTTAGTATTGCGTACAATGGATTCTTGAGCTGCCTACCCTTTTCTGCACTGCAAGATCAGGAATCCTGTCCCTTATAGAATTTGGCAGCATTGGCCAGTCTTGAAATTCTCGTAGATGGCCTTCATCAATGAATTCCTTGTCCCATCGTCTTTCAGGATCCCATTCAGCACTTCTGGGGATCCGAAATAACCGCAATCTGAAATATGCGTTCTCGGTGAATGCATAAAGACAGGCAGCTTCAGCGATGCTAAGTTCTTCATTTGTTATTCAGATGGAATGTTCCTTAGGCAATCGGGCCTCTGTTAATGCTTCCTGGAGTGCAGCCTTTAGTCTTTCGATTTCTTGATCCTTAACCTCAATATCATAGGAACCCAATACAATGGAACCTCAATACAAAGCAATGCTGGTGTTGTTACAACACACTTACCGCACGCAGCATGTCAACCTCAGACACATCCATCCTATCAAAAGGTCGCTGCTCATTCATTTCATTTGGACTTTGCAGAAGGGGCTGAGATTGGTGCTCTGTAGTCAACATTCTAGTGTACTTCTGATGTGAAAGTATAGTCCTCAAAGAGAGATGTAAGAAAACGGTCGGGATTTGTGTTGGCATGCACCCTTTTTATATTTGAGAAATAAATGCATTGAATCTCAAACTGCAACATCCATGCACAGGTAGGCATGCTGCGGACAATTCCGATGGCTAGGTATATAACTGTAAACTTGTAAGCATCACATTCCACCCAATCAATATGCCCACCTCTGCCCTTTCACCTCACCAGACACCAGAACTGGAGAGTGCCACACTAACCAACGCTGCAGCCCCTGAGCCACTGAACACTCTGGTAAACAGCCCTGCACCCAACACCACAGCCTCCGAGGATCAGCCAGAAGATGAAAATTGGCCATCGGAGCTTGACCCAATCTCGCATGCCATGGTAGCAGGTTACATTGACCTTGTTCTGGCGAATGTGTTTCGAGGTATGTAGGGCCGACGCCAGCAGCATTGCACGGTTGCTCAACTGCAATCCTCCAGCGACACGGTTTATTGCTCGGAAATCAGGTGTTTCCACATCTCGAGTATCGCTCCTGCCCGTTTTAGCAACTGCATGCAAAACGGACTTCGACATCTGGGGTAGTAGATTTGCACTTACACCAAACCCAGCTGGTGGTGTTCAGGTTTGCCTCATGTTTAAGGAGACATGTCAAGCCCAACCAAGTGGGGCCAACAATGAGGCAGTGATGCAAGGGGTGAGTTCTTGAATCCTAAATTCAATTTCAAGTTGACTGACCGCAAGACATAACCTTCAGACAGACAATAACCTAGATGCCGCCACAGCGGCTACTCCATCGTCAAAGTCGTTCGACTCCAGTCAGACGTAGTATAGCACACCCTGTTCAATAGTTTTCCCCAAAATGTACGGTGTCATCCTGCACAATACTGCGATTCTGCAAGTGCAAGCATAAATTGAACAGAAAGGCACCAGTGATATTTTTATGAGCCTTGTTGAGCACAGGGTTACAGCATCGGTTCAATCGTTGGAACGTGTTCACATGATTAGGAAGTGTTGGGTCGTGTTCTCACGGTTAGAAGGCATTGCAACGTGTTGCAACGATTGGAAGGGCATTGCAACACCTCCGGGATGTGATAATGTTCCCAGAAACGTTGCAACATTTGAGCGAATGTTATGAGCGTTAAAACGAAAACAGTCTCAGAAAGCGTTGTAACACGTTGCAACAGCAGTTCCCGGTTTTCCGACATTTCTCATTCTGTCGCACAGCCATGTCACCCATATTTTGGAGACCTGATTAGGTACCCAAAAGCGCTATATATATATATATACCTAACAGGCCAAAAGCTTGTTGAATGTTCTTTCTCCAACGGAATGCTCGTAATGATTAGAATGTTCTAAAACCACGACTGAATGTTCTAAACAATCAGTGAACGTTCTAAATAGCGATTGAACGCAGAAGCTCTGTGTATGTGCCTAATAGGCCAAAAGGTTGTTGAACGTTCTATAACATTCTCCAGTGGGGCATTCTGATCATCATTGAACGTTCATTGAATGTTCTAACTGTCATTTGCCACAGGTGTCTGAATGGCAGCAACTTCCCTCGGCAAGATTCAATACAAAGGAGGCAAACGCCGAGATCAGGTGATGAATTATTCGCAACTGTCTAGTTCTTTCTGTCTCCCCATCCTCACCCCATCCTCTACTGAACCTGCGCAGCGCCATGACCACCGCCAAGCCTCCCTTCCCTCCTCAGTCCTAAGCATATGCTTTGCATCCCTTGATTGGGGTGTGGCCTAGCTAACTCATCATTGCAGTGAGGCGCGGGTTTGTTGTAGGGTTCCATGAGGTTTGCCGGTTTCTTCAGTTGGCATGAACCACGCTAATTGTCATATCCATGCATACCCGACGCCGACCCGACTTCCGGACCTCCACCCTCTCCACCTCTGGAGTCATACCCTACCGCTGCCGTTCCGATACTCACCTCCGGTGAAGGAGAGAACAAAGGAAAGTCAGTTGGGAGGTTCAAACAAGACCACCACCAAGCTGTTCCCTGGTTCTTTAGTTAGGATGGGGGAGTGTACTAGTGTTATTTATTGTAAATATAGTACCAATCCGAGTGTTTTGGCTAATTCTATTTTTATGGGTTAGTTTTAAAGTTCCTGGGAATTGACTTACAGATAAACCGAGCCCTGCAGAGCTGTTTCTTTATTGAAATTTATTAATTTGTCTAGGTGTAATTCTGTGTAGCGTTGTTTAATTTGGATTTAAACTTGAATTTAATCTTCTACTTGGTGAAGTTTCAAAGATTCTATTCAGTTAATGAATTTGGATGGTGTCTGGAGTGTCCCTTGAGTTCGTTTTATTTTTGTCTTATTTTATCGCTTGTTTTAACAGTAGCAAAATAACTGTTTTGTGTTTACACTTTGAAATCTGGAGTGTTAACCAGCTCTCCTGTTGAAATATCTACTCAACACCCCCCCCCCTTAATTGCTGCCTTTTACTACAGTGGCAATCTTAACTGTATATCACTTTTTCGCACTGGAGTGACAACCAGAAATGCTTGAGAAAAATAATACTCTATTTTCTTACTTCTCTAAGGGGGGCGAAAAGTCGCAGAAAGGGTCTCCCTTTTATACTCCTTGGGTCGCCTTCCTTTTTCACGCTCTACCTTCTATTTACAGGATTTATTTACAGTGTATTTCTCTCAAACTGAATAAAAATGAAATTTTCATGCTATAGTTCTACTGCGGTCAGACTGCGCCTAGAATTCTTATTGTCCTCCCTCGCCTAAGCTATTTTAATGGTTAATTAGAACTTGGCTGCGCTGCATTTGCTGCAGTTACCTATTTCAAATTCTATATATATACCATTAAATTTGCTATGACTCGATGACTCTGAATTCAAACTTCGCATTACTATGCGTATGGCTGTGCTGAGACCTTCAGCTGATTTATTCCATTTTTATTTAGTGACATTTAGTTAAAATGAGACTGAAATGGTAAATGAGTGAATTATTCAGGTTTGAAACTGAAAGAAAAAGTTGCTAGTAGTCAAGAATTACTCAAACGAATGTGTTATAGCTCTCCACCTCATTAGAATATCGTTCCCTAAAATTCCCGCCATGGTCCATTGTAGTTTAGTGGTTTTTGTGAATTTTGTTCATATTCTCTGATTTCCTTTTGTATTATCGCATCCTAATCCTCCATATGTATCGTTGGTTGATATAGTAGGTTGTCCTTGAAGATATCATATTTTTATCTATTTTATTTAGGATTCTGGACCTCTTGAAGCTGTTTTCTCGCGCATTTTCAGGTTTCTAACTTCATGTCCTTCTATCTCATTCATTTCTGGATGTTTCCTCACGTTCTTAGTATCATAAATTTTCATTTATTCCCACCTTTCCAATGGTACTAATATTGTGTCCTATTTCCTGGTATTCGTTGAGTTAGCAAAGATTCGCGCGCACATTCGGTAATCACGTGCGTCGTTCGTATGCGGGAGCCGTTTTCGTTTATTTGTTCGGGATTTATGATATGCGCGGATGTTTATTTCTTTCATATGGGCTTCTGTGATTTATTTCAGATTTTTCCCTCATGTTCTAAGGTTGTTTTGCACTTTCCGTGCTTTGTTTTGACCGGGCTCTTCCTTATTTGGATGGAAATTGGTCTTCGCGATCTGCCGAAGTGCGGATCTCGGTTCCGATGGCCGGTTCCCTGCGCATCGCCACCCTCACGTGTCATTACACATGATGCGGATTCCTATATTCCCGTCATGGGTATAACTTCACAACGGCTGGACCGTTTGGGCTGAGAATTTGCATAGCTATAGTTTCCTATTTTTCATAATTTCCGTGTAAATTTCGTTGTATGTTTTAATTATGGATCCTACGCAATCATCGTCTTGTCCCTGAGCTCGGACTTTTGATGTCGCTATTCCCGTTATTGGATTTCTCATTAACGCATGATCCTTTTATTATGGAAATTTGGGAGGATTAAGAGTAGATCCCTTCCTTTCTAATGGGCTATCAAGCTTGTCTCGGTCGTTACTAGTTAATCTTCGCGCTTGCTTTTTAGACATTGTCCTCGTTATGCAGGAGTTTTAGTCATATCTCCGTCGTTTATGGGTAGTTTCCCCTGTAATTACTCTCATTGGTTCCGTTTGGGGGACATCTACATTTCCTATTATAAACACGACTTTGACTTTTGCATTAGTTCCTGAGGAATCTTTGTTCCGGGGTACTTCCATCCTTGCTACGTGTGCGGACGTGGGAAAGTAGTTTCCGTGGAGGTTCTCTGATTATTTTTATAGTCAAATCTTGGTCGATTGTCCTAATTCTTGGTTTAATATTTGCTATAAATTCCCCCAAGAATTCCATCTCGTTGATGGTAAGCTTGAAGTATTTTTGTTATTTTTCTTTCTTTCGATTTATCGTGTATAGTCATAATAATTCGTAAAAATTCGTAAAATTCGTTAAAATTCAGGTCCTTCTATGTTCTCATATCTACTTGTCGTATGAGGTTTTGTGATTTATCTGGCATATTTCCATAATGGGTTTCCATAGTGTGGCCGTTATTTCTCCTACACCGGTCCTGGCAACACACCTCCTCTCACCCCCACGCCACCTCTTCTCCTCCTTCCCTCTCCTTCCCTATCTCTGTCCGCTCCGATACTCACCTCGGACCGAACGCCGCCCCTCTCGTCACCCTCCTATGCTTCCCCCGTCCACTCCGATACTCACCTTCGGACCTGACAACTCTCCTTTCCGCCACTCCCTCTCCCTTACCTTTCCCCTCTCTCCTCCCTCTGGTACTCCTCCACCACCCTCTCGCCAAGTTACGACCTTCCACCGCTGTCCCGTACTTAATACTCGGACACTGCTCGTACCTTTGCTCCGAGCCTCCATCATAGTCCCTACCTCGGACTTTGACTCCACCTCGGTCTTAGTCCATTGCATTGGTGACCTCATACTACGTAAACACCATTGCCAATATCCCTCAGACTTTCAACCCCGCCTCCGTAACCTCCGTAAGCTCTGCAACCCCCGAGCTTTGCGGATTGCCTTCGGCACTCTCGCCGCTTGTAATGTATTTCTCGCGTTTACCCCTCATCCCTATTTGGACTACTGCTTCTTCCCATTCTAGCCAGTTAGTCATCATCCCCACTTCCCCTCATCCTCCTGCCCCTCTGGGCCTCGCCCTCCCTACCTCCTTTCAGACGTATCACAGGTCCTGCCTTATGACCTTCGGTACCGCTCCGCTTCTTCTACCCTTTGTTCCTGTTCGGACGTCTTCGTTCCGATTCGGTACCCTTTGTTTTCCTTGTGCTTTTGCCCCCTCCATTATATATATCGGCGCTTGTACATACTTGTTTTGGTTCAGTCCGAAATCGACCTGAAATGCCCCCTAGAGACTTCCTGCTCACCTACTGTGAAATTAAGGACCAAATGGACAAACAGCAATGGCACAGCGCTCCACTTGAGTCGCTGAGGCCAAGGTCCCTCCACGCTAAGTCTCCGATTCCACTCCAGAGTCGTCTGTTTCTGCCTGGTTCTAACACTAATTGTCTCTCCCCTGTAGATTGTTCCGCTGATTGTCTCTCAGCCTAGCTAGTTCAGTATTCACAGAGTTTATCAGATGATGGCCTAATGGGGTGGGTTCGTTATTCCAATTGGAGCTGCAACCCCGTTGAAGGAGAGAACGAAGGAAGGTCAGTTGGGAGGTTCAAACGAGACCACCACCAAGCTGTTCCCTGGTTCTTTAGTTAGGATGGGGAAGTGTACTAGTGTTGTTTATTGTAAATATAGTACCAATCCGAGTGTTTTGGCTAATTCTATTTTTATGGGTTAGTTTTAAAGTTCCTGGGAATTGACTTACAGATAAACCGAGCCCTGCGGAGCTGTTTCTTTATTGAAATTTATTAATTTGTCTAGGTGTAATTTTGTGTAGCGTTGTTTAATTTGGATTTAAACTTGAATTTAATCTTCTACTTGGTGAAGTTTCAAAGATTCTATTCAGTTAATGAATTTGGATGGTGTCTGGAGTGTCCCTTGAGTTCGTTTTATTTTTGTCTTTATTTTATTGCTTGTTTTTAACAGTAGCAAAATAACTGTTTTGTGTTTACACTTTGAAATCTGGAGTGTTAACCAGCTCTCCTGTTGAAATATCTACTTAATATTTCTCTCCTTAATTGCTGCCTTTTACTACAGTGGCAATCTTAACTGTATATCACTTTTTCGCACTGGAGTGACAACCAGAAATGCTTGAGAAAAATAATACTCTATTTTCTTACTTCTCTGAGGGGGGCGAAAGGTCGCAGAAAGGGTCTCCCTTTTATACTCCTTGGGTCGCCTTCCTTTTTCACGCTCTACCTTCTATTTACAGGATTTATTTACAGTGTATTTTTCTCAAACTGAATAAAAAGTGAAATTTTCACGCTATAGTTCCGCTGCGCTTTGCTGCGCTGAACTGCGGTCTACTGCGGTCAGACTGCGCCTGGAATCCTTATTGTCCTTCCTCGCCTAAGCTATTTTAATGGTTAATTAGAATTTGTCTGCGCCGCATTTGCCGCAGTTCCCTATTTCAAATTCCCCATATTTCCCATTAAGTTCGCTATGACTCGGTCATACTGAATTCAAACCTCGCATTACTATGCGTGCGACTGTGCTGAGACCTTCAGCTGATTTATTCCAATTTTATTTAGTGATATTTTAGTTAAAATGAGACTGAAATGATAAATGAGTGAATTATTCAGGTTTAAAACTGAAAGAAAAAGTTGCTAGTAATCAAGAATTACTCAAACAAATGTGTTATAGCTCTCTACTTTATTAGAACATCGTTCCCTAAAATTCCCGCCATGGTCCGTCGTAGTTTAGTAGTTTTCGTGAATTTCGTTCATATTCCCTGATTCCCTTTTGTATTATCACATCCTAATCCTCCATATGTATTGTTCGTTGTTATAGTAGGTCGTCCTCGAAGATATCATATTTTTATGTATTTTATTTAGGGCTCTAGACCTCTTGAAGCTGTCTTCCCGCATGTTTTCAGGTTTCTAACTTCATGTCCTTGTATCTCATTCATTTCTGGATGTTTTCTCACGTTCTTGGTATCATAAATTTCCATTTATTCCCACCTTTCCAATGGTACTAAGGTTGTGTCCTATTTCCCTGTATTCGTTGAGTTAGCAAAGTTTCGCGCGCACATTCGGTAATCACGTGCGTCGTTCCCATAGTTGTTCGTATGCGGGAGCCGTTTTCGTTTAGTTGTTCGGGATTTATGATATGCGCGGGTGTTTATTTCTTTCATATGGGCTTCTGTGATTTATTTCAGATTTTTCCCTCATGATCTAAGGTTGTTTTGCACCTTTCGTGCTTTGTTTTGACCGGGCTCTTCCTTATTTGGACGGAAATTGGTCTTCGCGATCTGCCGAAGTGCGGATCTCGGTTCCGACGGCCGGTTCCCTGCGCATCGCCACCCTCACGTGTCATTACACATGATGCGGATTCCTATATTCCCGTCATGGGTATAACTTCACAACGGCTGGACCGTTTGGGCTGAGAATTTGCATAACTATAGTTTCCTATTTTTCATAATTTCCGTGTAAATTTCGTTGTATGTTTTAATTATGGATCCTACGCAATCATCGTCTTGTCCCTGAGCTCGGACTTTTGATGTCGCTATTCCCGTTATTGGATTTCTCATTAACGCATGATCCTTTTATTATGGAAATTTGGGAGGATTAAGAGTAGATCCTTTCCTTTCTAATGGGCTATCAAGCTTGTCTCGGTCGTTACTAGTTAATCTTCGCGCTTGCTTTTTAGACATTGTCCTCGTTTTGCAGGAGTTTTAGTCATATCTCCGTCGTTTATGGGTAGTTTCCCCTATAATTACTCTCATTGGTTCCGTTTGGGTGACATCTACATTTCCTATTATAAACACGACTTTGACTTTTGCATTAGTTCCTGAGGAATCTTTGTTCCGTGGTACTTCCATCCTTGCTATGTGTGCGGACGTGGGAAAGTAGTTTCCGTGGAGGTTCTCTGATTATTTTTATAGTCAAATCTTGGTCGATTGTCCTAATTCTTGGTTTCATATCTGCTATAAATTCCCCCGAGAATTCCGTCTCGTTGATGGTAAGCTTGAAGTATTTTTGTTATTTTTCTTTCTTTCGATTTATCGTGTATAGTCGTAATAATTCGTAAAAATTCGTAAAATTCGTTAAAATTCAGGTCCTTCTATGTTCTCATATCGACTTGTCGTATGAGGTTTTGTGATTTATCTGGCATATTTTCATAATGGGTTTCCATAGTGTGGCCGTTATTTCTCCTACACCGTTCTTTGCAACAAATCTGATGACTTTTTTTTTGCAGGCTTTGACCTGAACTTGCTGTGCTGGTAAGTTTGTCCCCTGATGATTGTCCTCTTTATGTCCCATGGCTCACTTTCCCCTCGTAAATTCATTTTACTTTCCATGGCATCAATGCAATGGTATGAGGCTCGGTTTGTTTGTATTGTCCGAAGCAATTAATATTTCGTACCTCCCTTGTATATTAGATTTATATCCCCCTCTGCGACTATTCTGTACCCCCACCAGCTGACTCCTGTGGAATCTGAAACTCTTGTCCTCGCTTTGAGGTCCCCAAGCTTGTACTGGGCATGTTCACTGATTGTTTCCGTGTTTTGTCTTGCATGTCACGCTGCAGCCACAATGTTGCCTGCCCATTTGCTCTTCCATTTGCCTGCCAGCTTGCCCCGCTTGCCATGTTGCTGACATCAACGTGGATGACATGGGTCTCAGATCCAAATGACCCGGTGTTTATTCCTATTTACATTATGTTTCCAGTGGGTGCTTTCATTGATTGTTCTTCAACTTGTGTCTAGTAAGCAAATTTTTTCTCCACCCGGTTTCGTGATTGCATTGTTTTTCTATTATGTTTGCTTCCATTCCCATCACTGCTACTAACATAGTTTGCTATGTATTCCAGTTTATTTCACGGGACTAATCGGAGTCGGGCACATGCGACTTGGAGCTGTTCACACTGCCGCAGCGCTTGCGCTCGGTGTCACTGGTATGTTTCCCCAGTGCAGCCAGGCTTCTAACTCACACTTGCTTGTCAGTTACCTCTCGTTATCGCATGGTTATTACTCTCCCTTCCATGTGTTGCTGTTTTCTGTAAGTGTATTTTTTTAACCCTTTATTTACTTGATTTGTGAATTGTTTGCCCTCAGCTCCTGTTCCTCCCCACTCAGGCTGCATTTCCTCTTTTGTCTACCCTCCACCTCCCCCCACTCCGCCTTTGATTACGTTGTATCTTAACTGTACTCTCTTTGTAACCGGCCCGCCCTCAGCCGTTGTTTTCCTGTGCCGCAATCAACATTCTGTGCTGGCCCGATGCTAGGCCGAGTCCGCTGTCATGATGCCTATTCTCTTTCTCCCTCTCTATGTCACGTGATTAGAGGATACAAACAGTTATGACCTTAGCTGTATTGTAGCGGAGTTGTCCGAGTTTATTGTTATATTGTTATATCTACTCATAGAGTTTCCAGAATTAATGTTAATATTGTTATTATTACATTGTTATATTCGAGATTGGCACCAAATCCGCTCATTAATGCGAAAGAGTTCCCGTGCTATTTGATGTCACATGCATGTGAGAGTTGGAGCTGAATTCATGAGACAATTGCCCGGCCAACTGAGGGAAATGGCCACACTGTGGGAATCGCCATGGGCCAGCAATTACAACTTACATTGCGAAACCCTCTACATTCTCTGGGTCAAGGCGAGCATCTTCACCCATATCTAATGCTGCCATAGCCAGAGCCAGAGCCCCATTTTCCTCCATCTCATCAGGCTCTATTTCATCATTATCATCATCATCTTGACTTGCCTCATCCGCGCTGTCCACACCATCATCTTGACCTGCCCTGGGGTACTGAGTATTGGTGGATTGAACGTTGGTGTAAAGGGAACAGAAATCCTCCTTTGACATTGGAGGGGTGGTGTCCGGCCACGGAAGTGCATCGTGAGGACAAGGGACATCTTCGGTGTGATTCTGCCATGAAATTGAGAGATTGTGAAGTTCATGGAGCCATTTGAGAGCAAGAAAGGCCACGTCAACGCTGTTCCTTCCTTGACATGACCGAAAAAGTGACTCATATGCAGCATGCTCATGAGCCAACCAGTGTCGGAGGTTAGCATGCTCTGCAGTGAGTCTGCGTATCTCAGACCGGCAATTATTTGCTTCCTGCATATAGCAAATGCTCTCATGAACACTAGAATCCATCACCCATTTGGGGAGCTCTCCCTCTCTGGGCTCTTAGTCAAAGAACTCTTGCCAAAGATCTTGATCTACATCTAACTTGAGGATGGTGTCACGGCTGAGGGAAGGTGGGAGATACTTATTTTGGTGGGCTGGAGAAGTAGTCTGAAGCCTCCTTAGAAGCTCTAGCTTCTCCTTGTATTTTCGCAGTGTAATGTCAATGGCAGATGATCGGCCCTTCACTGCTTTCTCCACATGGGCCTTGACATTTTGATCAATGGTGTGAGCTTTTGAGCAATCAAGTATGTTGAGTTCGAACCGTCTTGAATGCAATTTCCGAACAAGCTGCTCCCTAAGGATTCGAAAGTTGATGAGTTCATTTGTCCACTCATCCTTCTTCAGCCGCTCCAGCTCTTCGAAGGCAGCATCGCCCTGTGCTCAAGGCATACACATGTTTGTGGCCAACGACTCCTTCAGCCTTACAATCTCTTCTACCACTTTCTCCATGAATTCTTGCGACTCAAACTGACGAACTGGATCATCTACTGGCCTGGTCCGAACAAGCTCCTCATAGAGTGTCTCTTGGGTCTTTAACTCGGTCCTCAGTGAAGTAATTCGATCCACTAGCTTCTGGGCCGCTGTCTTCGATTGACGCTCTAAAGGTTTGCTGTAATAACGTCACTGGTCCTCAAACTGTGCCAACAGATCAGGAACCGGATCATTGTTGTTCTTCCCCGAGTGACCGGTAGCTGCATTAAGTCGCCCCCTGGCCCTCTTTAGGTGGCCTCAAAGCCATTTTCCAGAGTCAGGGGACTTCATGGACTCAATGTGCTCAACCTGGACATCAATTAGAAAGAGGCGATGATAATGGCCAGTAACTCGAAGGCCTGGTATCAACTGTCGCAGCTGGCTCCACACCCTCTCACAACCTTCACCATCCGTGAGGCCCCAAAGCTCCGATTTACGTGGATGGTACCAAAGCTGACAGGCATACTGGTGACCATATGCATGGAAAATGGAGACACCCCACGCGATTCGAGATCTCCACTCCGGAGCAATGTTGTATTTCTTCAGGGTATGATCTCCCTGACATCCTATGTCATACAATATTCCAACCCGCCATGAGCCCGGGACGTGCTCAAAGAATTTTGCAACGAGCGCGAAAAGGTAGTGCTGTTTCTCACCGGCCATCTGGACGTTAACGAGGAATAGGGGTATATCGTGGCGACACAGGATCACCATCACTCCAGTGTCTGCAAAATAGTCTGTCGATGCCTTAATGCGTTCCCCATCGGCAGCGATGAAAGACTCAGAACAAGCATCATATGTAGAGTTCGGGACTGGCAAGCCAAACTCCCTCCTATCATCTGCACCAGCTGGAGCACGCTCAATGTCCACCTCCTCCCCTTCACGGTTTCTGCGCTTCCTGGAAGACTTTTTAGTGGGGCAGATGGTCTCGACGTGTTCTTTCCAAAACTGAACAAAGTCCTCAGACAAAAATACAGTTCTCAGTGACGTGAAAGCAGGATCCTTCCCCCTGACTTTCTCCTCCATTCCACGCCGACGATCCTTGTCTTTAATCCACTTTAGTTGGAAATTTGCATCGCAACATATGATGGCCTGTACATCCTCCCCTTTCATATAGGACCCACCAAAACAGAGGGGACATCGAGAACGGAGGAAAGAACTAGGCTGATCATCAGCATTAGGGTTTGGAGTATGATGGGCATTCTCATACACGCGACGATTGATCGGAGTCGTGACGTCAAAATCAGTCTCAATCTCGGTACCCTCGGAATGCTGCGAGACAGAGGTAGATGGCCCCTGCAGCATCACAGATGAAGGTTGAGATGGAAGTGCGTAGCTTCTTGCTAAACGAACAAGCTCCACTTGGACTAACGAAACGAGACTCTGGTAATATTTCAGGGCATTCGCAAAATGTCTACGAAGAGAGTCCTTGGCATCAAAATGAAACCCGCGATTTTGAAGTATGGTTTGCATGGTAGCTGCCCATGCCCAGTTGTTTGGGGCGGTAAACTTGAAGAAAAGTGAGACCCATTCCAACATATCAATGCTTACGGCCAGTGAAGGGCGATATGGAGCACATGGGAACATCCCAAGCTCAACAAGCTGGACGGGAGCAGGGCGGGTACTGCAAACAATAAGCAAGACCTCCTCTTTGCAGTCAAACCGCAAACAAACAACTTTGAGTGCCAGGTGGCTGCCCCCACAATCGCAAGGATCCGCTCTAGGTGTGACCCCCGATCCGGAATAACGCAAACGCTCCCACTGAATGTACACAGCTATGAGCTGCAGAAGGACTGTATTGTCCCAACGCACATGCTGCCTCTTGCGCTTTAAAGCATGCTTAGACCGGCGTGCATCCAGGGGTGTGCAGATGACTCGGTCCACCACAGTGTCGAGGCCAATAGGGATGGTTCCTATATATGGAGTAGGTGGGGAGGAGAAAGGCAACTCGAACTCTTCGGGTGGGTTGGGTGGCGGCACATGTTCATCATTGTGGTCATTGGTGGGAATGTGGATAGGAGCCTCCACATTGTTGGCCCCTGGCTTCTGTGATCGGCGAAGAGATGGCACAATCCCAGGGACGCTGCTCAGCTCCTTCAGGAAACCGGTACTTGACCCTTCATTCTGCAACGTCCCACCATCAGATTGCTTTCTTGCATGATACCTTTCTGATGCTTTGAGCGACTTTTTAAGACTGCGTAGAGTTCCTGCCATAATGTTGTAACGATGTGGTGATCAGGATAAAGGAGGGTATTGTGAATAATAAAGGCGTCGTATGAACCGCGGTGGGTGTTGGACCAATGGACCGATGGGCTAGATTGCTCGGTGGTGCTTGTCACAGACACTGACGATGAAAACAAGGGACAAGTCCCAGAGGCAATGATGATGGAGTGAAGTAAGAGTCCCAGTGATCCTCTGAGGTGTGCAGCGCCGAAGGAGCAAGCTCGAAGGGTTATCCCCAAAGAAAAATCCTTGAGGGCACCAACGAATAAGATCAATGCACTCAGGGGCAGGGCAGCATGCAAGAAATTAAGTCACAACGTGAGGTTAGGATGGAGGTGGAGCCGAGGGAGTGCAATCGTGAACTGTCTCCAATGCAGGGGCTTTGAAGAGGACACCGACGAAAAACCAATGGACTCAGGTGAAGCGACAACAGGCACAACGCAGTTTAAGGTCAGGGAGGACGTGGAACTAAAGAGGTGTAATCGTGGGTTGTCTCCAATGCAAATGCTTTGCAGAGGACTCCACAAATGTGAGGGAACGTAGGGGCGGCGAAACGGTTAGGACGAGCAGAAGTGTAATGGCAGAACGATGGCGGAACGCCGTCACAAGACTGGATTCAATTGAAGTGGGTCGGAACAAACATAAGGCAACAAGTTACAAGGCAAGCGTCTCAATGACACCACGTAAAGTGGTGAGGGTACGATCCAGTTTTCTTTGTAGCTCCTCGTTCATTGCTCGTAGCTCCTGGTTCTGCACATGTAATTCATTGACCTCGGACTCAAAAGCGTCCAACTCAATGGAGGAGAGTTGTGCAGCAGCTTCATGCTCGCGGATTCGGGCCTCCAATTGAATAATGTGAGCAGTCATTAAGTTCCTCAATGAAGCATCTGCCACGTGGGTTGGAAGGGATAAGGACCCCACCACCCTTTGAACTGGTGGCTGACTCCTGGGAGATGTTGATCAGACAGTTCCAAATACATTAAATTGTACTTACATTGGAGCTTGTGCCGCTGGTTGGGTATCGCCTCCGCTAAATGGCGGTTGCCTTCTGAGCGATGAATAAGAGATGGTGCGAATACAAATTGACATTACCTTCTTTGACTCAATATGTTATCGCTGGCAGCATCGTTGTTTTGTGCGAATCTAAAGGACCTCACTTGAAGATCGGATGCTTCAAGGCTGTAACACATCAGCATCAATGATAGGCTTTGAGTGAATAGATCCAGCCACTTGCCCGGGACACGGTGGTCCTCTCATTCTACGCTGACGGAAGTCATCCCTTGATATTTGATTTCCACGTACTGTGAATATTGTATGAGTCACTCATTGTTTTCGGACTGTATAGACTATACTAACGAAAAATGGTGCACCTTTGGCCCCCATTCACTCGGGGACATTTCCAGAACCAGTAGCCTTCCAACTTTTTTCAGCTGCAATATTTCAGCACTGAAGATGAGTTAGATTGATATCAATAAGAAGCTCGAGGAGATGCCATACTCTGATAGCCACAATCACAACGGAAATCATAGGAATCCGAGAGACTGGGAGGAATAACAACAACTTGCTCCCCTTGGAAATTCTGTAGAAATGCCATTGGCTTCGATGAATCGATCGGTGGTAATGTTGCTGTGAGGCAAGTGGTGAGATATTTCTTGCACAATTCCTCGATCCATCACCTGACTAATCAGCATCCTCGCGATAATTGGATAATTGATTTTACTGTAAGGGAGATATTAATTGGGATTTAATGGAGGGTACGAGATTAAATAAGACTTGTGTGCCTCGGGTTCTAGCACCAGGCTTCCTTCGTGTCTGCCGCACACAGTTGACCTCGCATACGGTATACCCAGTTATGGTCTTTCTTATGCTGATGTTTTTTGTATGTGTTTAGTTTGTTTTTTCTCTGATTTTCTCGGTCGCTCAAAAATTCAAGAGGCTTCGATGTTTGTTGGGGTCGTCGCCACGTTATTCTATCGTTCCGAGTTGCCCGTTGCACACAAGTTATGTTACATTTACTGTAAAGAAACAAGGTTGGGGTTGGGTCTGGCAGCCTTGATGCTGTGGGAACCTGTTCAATCTCCTCTCGTTGCCGAGGCAGCGGCACCACATCCAATTCCCATTAATCGTGAGTGCGTGTTGGATGAACAAGTCGTGACAACACACAGATGCCATCGGGACAACACTCAGTGCGGAATTAGATGGATGATAGGAAGATATGTATTTACATGTGTTTGTATCGACAATTTTATCTTTGGAGTTTGTTCCTGTCATTTCTTTTCCGTTGCTCAACCGCATCGTTATCTGGCGACCTTCGGTCATGAATGTGCACTTCAACAATAGATGCTACCCAGGTTTGCACTGTTGCACAGAGCGGTGTGTATTTTCCATCATTATCAATCCGGGCGCGGCCTCGTGTCAATGTAACTTGGTGTTGTTGTTATGGCTTCATCTTCCATTTGTGGTTTCTTCGCTACCACGCTGTTCAAAGCGCCTTTCTTATAAAGTGAGAAATTTTGGTTTTCACATCGTGAACAATGGGACTGAGGTTAATCTAATCTGGATTCTATAGATTTAAATTTGGCCAACTCCAAACCGGTGGCAGGTCACATGTTTCTGCAGTTGTTGCCAGATCACACTCCACTCTGGCGCATCCCCTCACAGTCTTGTTTCCAGTAAGCATTCTCACAATTAGGATGATTAGGGCCATAGCGCGCGCAGCCCTGATATTCTATTACTGTTTACACATAGATTGACTCGTGAGGAAGATGACTAGTCACACAACCCATCATCCGACTCGTGGCCTCGATCCGCATCATGTGGTCAATGCCAATCCTCAGCCAGCTGAGGTGTCGCTTGGTCATCTTGCAGAAGGCTCGCTCACTTGGCTACGCAATATGGCATCTGTCAACCTTCATCATGATGAAGTGACACAGGGTCATGCTTCCAATGGCTTGTCAGAGTGGTTGCAGTGGTTGCTTGATGAATTGTTTATGAATGAACGGTCATCTACCCCCATAACTCCAGTAGAATGGGATTATAGATTGTTGCGATTTGTCGACGTAAATGGTGACTTGCCATTTGACATTGCATTGAGTAATCAAAAGCTGCTCAATCAACGCCACATACAACGATATCCTAAAGGTATGTTCTTCTTCCCCCAGTTCTAGCTTGGCGGCTCACCCCCCATTCCCCTTACTACAGCCACAAATCGACGCAGGGTTTACCACCGGTTTTCATGGTTGCTGTTGGCCTCAAATAGCCCTCAAGTGCATAAATACGAGTTCCTGGGACAGCCAACCAACAAAACCCCTTCTCAAAATATCCCCCCTCCTGCATTCACTGCTGCTGACACATTCCTATTTGTGTCAGGGCACACACCCTGACTAGCCCGGACCCGGACCCGCATCCAGACCCGCTTCCACCCGCTGTGCTTCCCACATGCATGCATACTCCGTGCGCCGCATGCTCCGGGCCCGGTTCCTACCCCTTCATGTGACTTCCGGGTATCTCCGGAAGTTTTGCTGATATTGTGGCCACTGTGGGAAGATGAGAAGTTAGCTTCCTTCTCATCTCCTTACCCACAGTAGGCAAGTGTATTCTACATTGCCTTTATCTATTCATCTCCTTACCCACAGTAGATTGTGCCTGGATAGGGCTGGCCAGACCTGAGGCTGTGGGCCATAGGGGAGGGTCATGGGGACCTGGGAGTCGTCCCCTGACAATTTGATCATCATTGGGATTACACATGGTATCCTATCGTTTTCGATTCGCAGCGCCCATACCTTCCATATCTCCCACATTGCCGCTTGAATGAAAAATTGGACCATAGGTGGGAGGAGTTAAGCTTTCGTGAAGGCGAGCGCTGTGATGGCTTCCCTGGGTTTGGCCCCACAATGCACGGTATCGTTTTTGATAGCAAACAACTATCAGACATCATGTATTCTTGAGACAGACAGAGAGTAGTTTTCATCAGTGGGGGAAAATAATCAAAAAATGGAAAGTCCCAATCCCTTTTCAATTCGATGGATCCACACTCCCCTCGACATATTTGAACCGGAAGCTTTGCTCCCTTCCGCACATTCCCTTCTCGATTCTCACCTCATTTCGCCGAGGGCTCGAAATGCTTGCGTGGACAAACTACGCCATGTTCCACTGCATTGACTTTGCTGCAAAGCAGCTGGGCTGCTCACCGCCTTGTATCCCTGTCGACACCTCCCTCATTGGCGCTACATTTGTACTTAAGCCCAACGACGACGAAAGCCAAACCCTTCAGTCCAGTGACGTCCAAACTCTCCACCAACACAGTGTTCCCATCTTCATAGTTCGCCAGTACGGCAGCTCCGTTACATTGGAGAAACCCTCTGACAATGACGACTGCACTGACAATGATCCCATCGCCTTGTCGCTTATTGCTGCCGAACGAGAGGGTCTCCACTTCGTGGAATTCCTTCGCATGTCAACTCATCTTAACAATACGTGGGGGTTGTATCACCCTCGGGTATGGCAGGTCAGGCAGCCTAATTGGGAACAATGGGAGGAAAGTCTCATCACTCTCAAGCTGCCACAACAATTTTTTGATGGTGACGTTTACTCCAACAAAGTGTTTTCGATTCGCGATGGCATGCTTAACATTATCAAGGACCACTTTCCAGCCTGCTTTCCCCCCTCATTTGTACCAAAATCCAACTCACCAGGAATTCTGGGAAAGGAGACACCGAGTCATGTCCTCACATTTGGCGACGAACCTTCCTTTCAGTTCTTAGAGATCGCCGTTAATGGCGATATTGATGATCAAGAACTTCAACGTATCACTGACTCCAACTTCTTTGGTCAGTATTGTGAGCAGGGTGCCATCTTGGTAGCTCTTGCTTACTGTGGAGATGCAAGTGCATGGGAGACCATCCAAAAGGAGCTTTCTGTTAGTGGCATAAAGGAGAAAAATGCATCTCCTCTTCTCCAATACCTGCGCTGGAAGTGGCATGACCCAGCACAGCTTAGTGTGCATGCTCATCTTGAACGAGTTGAACGTTCAAAGGCTTACCTTGAATGCGTAAGTGGATATTTCGAGAAACCCACATCACCACCAATGCCGCGCCTCCCTCTTTACCGCTGCCTTCCTCTCTGCCACCATCTCCCCCTTCGCTGGCACCTCCCTCTCTGCCGTTACCTCCCTCTTCGCTGGCGCCTACCTCATCGCCGCTTCCCGCTCCATGCCCTTCCCCAACCCAACCAAGACCGTCTTCACGGTCATGGTTATCCACTTCACAGCTCATCTTGCATGAGGGCGGTTCACTATCGGGCCCGCTCAACATCATCCCGCAAAAGCATCCGATGTCAGCAGCCTCTGTTCTTTTGGGCACTGGTGCTGACGACCTCCACATCGGTGGGGACTCCAGCCCCAACTTGACACATGCTGATGATCCCCCTTCAACTTCTGGATCGATGGACATTCCCAGCGTTATTGACTTCAAACCTGTTCCCAGGGACCTGTGGTTGGCCGAGCTTGCAAGGCGTTGTTTACAGAGGGGTTAGTTTTTTTTTCGTGGGAATATACCGTGTGAAAGTGCAATCCCACCCCCCCATGGCCACCCCGTGAGAAATGGCCACCCCGTGGGATCCATGCAACATCGGATCCAAATGTATATCTCATCCGTGCAATGTGTGTGCCACAAAATATTGCGGCAACACTTGCAGTGTTGTATGTTAATAAATACATAATAATTATAACAATCATTTAAACTATATATTTATTAACTTTGAGGGAAACTTAGGCTCTATGTAGCCTTTTAACCTTATCAACATAAGAGGGATGGCTCACCCTGTGATATTGTGGCTGTGCTACATACACGCGTGCAAGCTGCAGCCCTCTCAGGCCCTTTCTGCAAAGCCTTAAGTGCCCTGGGCTTAGGATTTTGTATAAGTAGTACTATTTGGAGCAGATCCATAGGGTTCAAAGGTCTACTGAAGTGCGACCCCTGTCCCCCAGCCCCTGTGTTAGCCCGCACAGACTGGGATCAGTTCGGCAGTTTAAGACCAGCACCTCTCATAGCCTGCAAGTTGTAGGGATTCCTGGCCCCTTTTTTCCTTTT